ATCCCTAAATGTGAATTTTGATAAAATCATTATTGCATTCGTTTGTCCACTGTTTGTCCACGTTTGTCCACCCCTTATTTTCGTTTGTCCACCCTATTATTATTATATTTTTCATAATAATGAAATATAATCACTTGGGGGTACTACAATTTTTTTTTGTGTATAACTATTTTTTGGAGGGTGGACAAATATGGACAAACAGTGGACAAACGAATACAATAATGATTTTACCAAAATTCGCATTTAGGGATGCCTACTTCTCAGAGCTGCTCTTAGAAGTCAGGATCCCTAAATGTGAATTCTGATAAAATCATTATTGCATTCGTTTGTCCACTGTTTGTCCACGTTTGTCCACCCCTTATTTTCGTTTGTCCACCCTATAATTATTATATTTTTCATAATAATGAAAAATAATCACTTGGGGGTACTACAATTTTTTTTTGCGTATAACTATTTTTTGGAGGGTGGACAAATGAAAATAACGGGTGAACAAACGTGGACAAACAGTGGACAAACGAATGCAATAATGATTTTACCAAAATTCGCATTTAGGAGTGCCGACTTCTCAGAGCTGCTCTGATGGCCACAGTTTTTTGGGATGCACGCGGTATAATTCATATCGATTACCTTCCGTAGAAACAAACGATCAATGGCGATTACTACGCAGCCTTACTGGGCCGTTTAACAACATTTTAAAGAAAAAACATCCCTATTTGACAAAGAAGAAAGTGCTCTTCCATTAAGACAATGTATACACTCACGTCAAGTCAGTTTGTCATTCAAGGGAGCTTCACAATGCTTTTACAATGTCACATACATTTATAACAAGAAAATTATAACTCTGAATTTTGAAGCTATTCGCATAGGTATATCTAGGACAAAGATACCTCTTAATGCGAATACGATACAAAATTATCGTTGTAACATTTCATTACGTAAATTGGCTGTTATATCTAATCAAATATCTACTTGCACTACAAATGCGTAAAAATAGTGGAATAAAAGCATAAATATTTGAAAGAGAGAGAGAGAGAGATGAAAGGCTCGCGAAAAAATAAAATTAATAAAAAATAAAGATTAATAATATTAGAGAGAGAGAGAGAGAGAGAGATGGAAGGATCGCGAAAAATAAAATTAATAAAAAATAAAAATTAATAATATTAATAAAAAATAATATAATATAATAATAATAATAAATTAATAATATTAATAAACAAAGAAAAATTATCGCCTATAACGGTCAAAGCTGTAAAAAATAATATAATATAATAATAATAAATTAATAATATTAATAAAGTTAATGAAAGATAGAGAAAGCGCGCGCTGTGTGCTAGTAAATATTTGTATATATTTCATAATTTCAAAAGAATATTATAATCCCGTATATATATTTCCTTATACATATATATAAGCAATTTTACGTTAGAAAAACTACGAGTTGAGCTTTAGATTGAAAATAAAACTAAAAGTTGAGAAGTGTGATACGCTAGCATTTTATTTTTTATTACACATAAAGTATACGTACACATTTTCTTAAAAAGCATACATTCGGTGTGCGTAACTGTGTACTTTATGTTTAACTTTAACCATTATTAAAATAATATTAGCATGTATTACGAGTATATATTGTTCAATAAAACATTAAAATAGTACATATTAAAATATAAGCTAAGTTATATTGATTTGAAAACAGAAACTATATTAATCACAATCTTTTTCCTTTCTTCCTTTCGCCTACTTCCTTCTCTTCTTTTCATATTTTAATTTTGTACATTATTTGATAATAGTTTTGATTTGGTTAAAAAATTGAAGAGAAACTGATTTTGTTTTACAATAATTTCACTTGTTGTTTTCTTTTAATCACAAATGTTCCTATTGAGGGGGTTTAAAATATAGAAACTAGATGGAATTTTTTAAACTACGCTGTTAACATACCTAAAGATAAATTTATATCCGCAATATGATTAGTAGTAAATTCGACTTATTATTTCTTGGATGTAGGTTTTTACAAACAAAATTTCAGTACTCCCTTGCGGTATCTCTATGACTTTCTTCAATTGTAGCGGATTTGATCATTCGTGGTTTATATGGTATAATGCTTGTTGTTTTTATAGTCATACGCTCTCCCTCTGACATTATATCAACACGTAAAAAATTAAAATAAAAATTAAATCTATTGGTACAATACGATCCACAATTGAAGAACTCAAAACAAAATTTTTAGATGCTCCAACTTTCTTTCCCGTAGACTTGGCACAGTTCCAATCATCACTCTAATTCTTCCTTATATATGTTATCTGTCCTCGAAAATTACGAAAATCGAATACCAGTGTCTTATTATGTATGATATATACCTACATATATTCTATAGCGAGGAAATAGAAATAATAAGCAGAGTCCGTAGGTACTTAATATCCAAAAAATCAGAGTCTTGGTTTCAGCACATATACAATTTATATTTTCTATCTATTTCAATTCCCAAAACTTTGATTTTTTTCTACATACCTACTTGATATATTAATCAGAGATTAAATTAAAATTTATTTTAAAAAAATCATTTCGAACTGTGTAATTCGTTTAATATGATATATGTAACGATCTAACTTTAGCGCGACTTAGCTCGTCGGAATACAGGTCAGTTATAGATTATAGAGCAGCAAGGAGTATTTCGCGGCGGTCGGTGCGCGGGAATAATAGAAGAACACAAGTGTTCTTTGAAACAAGGACAAGTGTTTATTAAACTGCGCCAAGACGATGCGACACAAAAGAAATTAATTGATACAATATTACAAAAAAAAAGAAACGATATAGCTATATATGTACAATAAAGTTCGAAAACGCAGGTAAAATGAGAGATTAAGTACGCGCGCAAAATGCTCGGATACAAAACGTAGAGGTCAGCTGCTATTGGGCCAGCTTGCGACGGCGTTCGGTATGTCAGGCGGGGTTGAGTGTGTACGTGTGTGTGTGTGCGCTGGTGTGCGTGTGTGTGATTCACAATCTAGAGCCACGATAGTGTCTTGGCGATAAGTGAGGCGACACTGTTTATGATTATATTGGTATTTTCATTTAATAATTATTATAATAAGCAATTTATTTATGTATTCTCTGGTTTTTTATGTAAATCTCTTTTAAAAATAACTTCTAAGAATATCTATTAAATTATAAATACCTACAAATTATGCAAGAGAGAATAAAAAAGATATTAAAAAATTACAAAAGTGTTAATAGGAGAACAAACTAAATGTGCTGAAAATACTCGATTAAAATAAATCGCACGAATATTCATCGCAATGATATATATAATTAATTATATATAATTAAAATGTAATTTAACTTTTTATTATAAAACAAGGACATGTAAACCATTTCTTATTAAATTTAAATTCAACTTTGAACTCAAGAGAATTTATTCTCTAGAAAAAAAGTTATATTTTTATCTTTAGAAATTGAAAACTGTAGAAATTAAAAGATACGAGCGCAGAAACTATTTATTCCTGATATATATTTCTGATTGATATGTATAATCTCAGATTATACACTCACAAAATTCACAATTTAGCAGAATTTTTAATTTTCTAAATTGTAATTATAATTATATATATAAACTAATTATAATTATAATAAACTGAATATTATAATTATTTTATTATAACGTGTCACCGTTGCATTGTTAGACAATAATTGATGCCTAACGTTTAACGTACGGGCTTATTACTATGGTCTCCTCTTCTTTTTTGATCGCTTGCACAAGCGTCAACGACAACACCGCTATGATCACCTGTAATTGGAATTTGGAATAATTGAATGAAAAGTAACAGAAAACAATGAAAATTGTCATTTATTAAATATAATGAAAAAATAAGAGAGAGAGAGAGAGAGAGAGAGAGGCAGAGAGGGAGAGGGAGAGAGATTGCAATTGACGAAATTAATCAAATTACGAATGTCCAATACACCACCACCTTCTAACTCTCTCTGAATCTGAATCAGTGAATAGTCACTGATTACCAGTGGCATACTTAGCACTGATAGCAGTGATTATTATCCACTGATTCAGATTTAGAGAGTAAAGAAATAATGAAGAAAAAAAAAAGAAAAGGTTTTGCTTCTTACATGAAGCATGCACAACGCCATCGCCATACCGGCAAGCCATCCCGATCTTGCCTCCAGAAACCAGGACAATTCCTCTACGCAACCGTGATGAAAGGCATTCCCAGTGACAGTGTCTCGGCATTCGGTGGGCAACGGTTTACGCATCTGTGTGTAATCTCTTGGTCCACCAGCTCCGCAGCATCCGACCTAACACATTAATCAAAAATAAGTACATATAATTGTATATATATCATATAATAAGATCGGTACATATATTGTATATAAGAAACAAAGACGCTTTTTTCTTCCTCTACAAGAGAAGCTCAACGTTCACTTACGGTTTCCTGGATTATTCGCAGGATAAAACTCGCCGTTTCATGATGGGAATTACTGATAAGACTGTACATGGACCGTTCGATGATAGGCTGAATCTTACTGTCGTATGTTGAATAATCGAGAATGACTGCTGCTCCGGTTAGACAGCAAATAAAGCTAAACGCTTGAAGACCCACGTGCTAAAATTATGGAAGTTCTTTCATACAAATTTTCATTAAATTTTTTACAAAATAGCGAGGAAATTATTTTTAAATAATTCCCAAAAAATTGTTTATAACGTTGAAATAAATGTTTAAACTAAAAATTAAGTGAAGATCAAAAGGGAATGTTTCGAGAAAGCGTATCCTAAATACTCAATATCCTTTATAATATCTTAATTTATATCTATATTTTTTATAAGCAATATATGTCATTAATCAGTATTTGAATTAAATAATCAAAGATTTTATTCAGAAGGATTAATTTGCGACAAAATGGCTTTAAGAGAGATCCGTATTTTTTCTGAGATACATTCTAATTTACGTCATTTGTAAAAATCAAATTTTCAAGTATCTTGCAAATTTCTTTGCACCTGTATCTACAAAGTATCTTTATAGGTGTATCTGCAAAGTGTATTTGCAATTTTCTCCAAAATGATCATTTTTTTTAACTTGTTAAGGTAATTAATAAGATTTCTTACAATGTATAAAGTCATGATGTGTTCCATAAGCGCGGCAGCGCAACCAATGAAAGCGATGGCCATAACAAGTACTGAGGTAGCGATGAGCACGTAAATCCCGATGTAGAATTCGTACATATTCAAAAATTCCACCCACTCCTCGAACATCGGCTCAAACCGCATCCAGATCGACAGTCCGAACATTGCACATCCAACGATCTTTTGCCAAGTGAAAAAGACTTTGTTAATAATATGATAAATAAGGATGTAGCAATAATAATTTTTTTAATGAAAAATCTTTCAAACTTCGTCTATTAATCGTGATAGTGTAATAGCAAAATAAAGTGTATTTTTTAGAGACTTAAATTATAATTGTAAAATTTATTAATAAGAAAATAAAGTTTAAATAAAGATTATTCTTTTCCTACAAAAAATGATATAAATTAAAGTTTTATAAATCGCGCGCTTGGCTATTCAATTTTATAAACTGTTTAATCACAATCTTTATGAGAATTCTATTTTTATTTAAAATTGTCGATAAAAAATGTATGTGTATCATGTAAAAAATTATATATATATTAAATTTATTTGAAAATAACAATTGTGTGATATTAAAGGCAATAAGAGTCAAACAAGTAATAAACATTCGAAAATTAAATTATAATAAACATTAATAAATATTAAATCAAAAATTTAATACAGCTAACAAAAATTATACATTACATGTTTCGGCTTTAAGTTTAAGCCCTCTTCAGATATATTATAATACAAAAAAAAAAGCGTACGCAGTGAACACGACTAATAATGAATCGCAATGCAAAAAATAATTTCGTTAAATTGTTACTGTTGTATGAATATTTGAAGCAGAGAAAATAGAAAATGCTCGCCAACTGGTTGGATGACCGATTATATTTATTTACAGTATATGAAAATAATAATTTAATAAAATTGTATAGCATTATTTTTCAATTTTAAATGTCAATTTTTTAATTTAACTTTAATTTTTTCCTATAATAATATTAAATGTAACTTATAATTACTACGAAGATAAATCGTTAAAAGAAGATAACAATTGATCCTCCTATCAAAAGCAAAAATAGAAAGAAGAATTTATGTTTTATGAAACAAATTCTCAATTTAAAAAACTGTTACATCTAATATTATTACAAAAACTTTGCTTCCTTTTTTCGATTCATAATTATCGTCTAATATAAACTGCTTTCGTACACTCTTTTCATTCGTATATATTTTTTTTAATTGATGCCTAAAATAGATAATAACATAACATTATTTCACTATCACAGTGTAATTTCACAAGTCGACGCAATTATTGCGATAACTCCACACACACTCACCCATATTATTGCATTTAAACAAAAAATCGTGAACTTTATGCAGCCTATCCGCTTCTCGAGAGCCGGTCCGGAACTTTTGGCGACCATCTCCTTGCGTCCTGCGGAAAATATCCTCCGTCGCGAATTCACGTAAAGAAGACGGTTATTTCGAGAACAGTGTAATGCGACAAAAACGTAATTAGTCGATCGAGAACGTCGACAGGTACCAGAGTATCATCACCTAACGTTCCGGCGGTTTATCACTAGCAAATATAAGATAAGTGGATAAGAGCGTCCTAGATAAAGATATAACGCATTACTGAGGTGAATCATTTCATTCGCGGTATGTAACTATATGTGATAGACGTAAATTATTAATGCTTATTAATCTAAAAAGTGTTACCATAATGTCCATTTAATTCAAGTCTTTTAATTTCTTCTAGATATTTAAATCTTCATCAAAAAGTCATATACGTTGTGGATGTAAATAAAATAAAAATCAGAAGTCATACATATCATTAAATTTATGATAAAGAAGTCGAACCTTAAACTCTTTGAAAACCTTTATTATAATTAAATCCTCAAAATTACTGATACACAAAGTATTGTTAATATATGAAATGTATACAATAAATATATAAAATATAAATTAATCCCTCTCCTAAATAATTGTTATTAGTAATAAACATCAAATACAATGCGAAAATTATATAGTTTGTATGTTATATCAAATATATTTTATTTACAATATTCCTTACAAAAAATTAATGATTATATAAAATAAAAGACATACTGAATTAATTTATGCGTCGTAAAATTAAAAAAACTAATAGAAATCTTCCTCCGTGGCTTTCGATACAGGAGTTTTATTTTTTATCTGCTCTTGATTATTGTACATGTTTGCCACGTCTTGAGCGGAAGTGGCCTGCTCGCAAGTCTTATCCTCGCGGATCCTGATAAATCGCGGAAACCTTAAAGATATTCCCTTCTCTGGATCAACCTGAACAGAACAAAGATAAAATATATGTTACTTTCTTTTAATTAAAAAAATATTTATTAAACAAATAAGAAACACTAAAAAAAATAATTAATTGCAGGAATATATTTTCTAATATCTCTCTATTTAATTAGTCGATAAAAAAAAATACAATGTATTCCGCGTGTGTGTAATGTATGTAATATACTGTTCAATGCGGATAAGAATTTCCGGAAACAAAGTAAATTATTATATCATGCAAAATAAATTTATTTTAACGCAATTATGGTGAGTTATATTTTTACGAATACTCGTCTTCGAAAACCTAGAAAACTTACTATTCCGATAGCCGCTCTGTGTACAGGCGAGAGGGAGAGATCGGCACACTTGATCTCCCAAACTTGAATTGGCTCAAACCAATGATCCGGTTCATGACTGCTATCGAAACGATAATACGATTTGGCCTGTGGCACTATGTGATCTTTGAGGAATTTAGTGTGATTTTCGAGGTCATCTTCTTTAAATCCTGTACCGATCTGTTCATGAAGAAATAATATATGTGTATATTAGCTATGAATAGTATCAAGGAAAAAGTATTATATATATATATATACAAAACTTAAATTATAAAAATTACCAAATGTTTTATATATACTCTAAAAAACTTAATAAATGTATTATATATAGATATAAATATCTAACAAAGATTTCCAATAATTATGCAACACCCATGTTTATTTTCACAAAGAAATATTTCAGGGATATACCTTACAGATGCTCTGATACTCTTCATTTTCTTGATCATAACAAGCTAAGAGGAAACCACCATAAGTACCAGTCCTTTTACCCTTGCCGATATAACCACCGATTACAACTACATCGAGCGTATCGCCGACGCCATCTAAATAATCTTTTTTCAGCTTTAACCAGTTTCGCGATCGCTTCGCTATCTCATAGGTCGCCTCCTTTTCCAACGTTTTCACCATCAAACCCTCGCAATTTCCCTTCACAGATTCATCCAAAAAAACTTCCACCTCTTCCATAGTCGAGGCATCTAAGCTATTAGCGAATTTCCATTCACCTTCCACTTCCTTGAAATGCTGTTTCAATAACTCACGACGTTTCACGAACGGTTCCTTTACCAATGGCTCATCATTTAGATATAACAAATCGAACATAAACACGCATACTTGTACTTTAATATCCTCCTCATTAGCATCCTAAAAGCAAAAATGGAACATTACTATGAAAATTGTCACAACAATTATAAAAAATCTTAATAAAAATTACAGTAACAATAAAATTGTGATATAATTACAACTAAAATAATTAAAATTATAAATAATTATAACGTGTTATTGTATATAATTATTACCTTTCGCTTTCTTGTACTGAGTATTTGGAATGGTAAAATTTGTTTCTTCTCACTATCCCATGCGACCGCCTCGCAATCGAGTATACAATTCTTCACTTCATCACCGCGACTATTCTTAAATCGCTTAATGATATCTGGATACTTGGTAGTATTATCTTCTTGATTTCTACTGTATATTTTTATTTGACCATTATCCGCAACGTGTATCTGCCAAATTGTAATTCTTTAAACATAAATTGAATCTAAATTACTAGATTCTCAGCAAATTAATTTTCAAGTATCTTATTTTTTTCCGATGTGCAATAAAATATTCTCTATATTGTATTGTACAATTTTTAAACTTAAATGAGTAAGAACCTGAGCTCTTTCCCCGTCATACTTCCATTCGCAAGTAAATTTCAAACCCTCGAATCGCGTTAGGACTTCTTGAACACCTTTAGTAGGATGTGCCAACATAGGTTTCAAGGGTATTCCAGGAGTAAGTTTGCACTTACTCGGCAAGGTATTAATTCCATCTTCCAGTAAAACAGGAATTATAAGATTATAATTCGGACATTCACTGCAAAGATATACAATTAGCAAAAAGAAAGGAAAATTTAATTGAATATTTAATACATTATCTTATTTCTAAACTAAGAAATAAAATTTTCTAAATATTTATTTTTTAATAAAGTTATGATACAATTAAATTATTTTAAAAATATAAATATATATTGTACATATTTTATTTAATATATTTTTAGAACATATATTTCCTTTTAAATTTTATATATATATTATAATAATAAAGAAAACATTTTATTTTGACAAAAATGTTACTTAATTTATTGTTTCAATATTTATAATAGAATATATGATAATATTTTCGAAATAATTTTACCAATACGTTGTTTTCAATATGAGTGCTATTTCATCATATTTCTCTTTGAAACGATCACTCGACATCTTTTTGCTTGCATTCAGAATTTCTGGTGGATACTTTTGTTCCGGCGGTGTCATCGCGCAAGCTAAAGCCAATGCCTAAAAAAATCCAAATATTTAATAATATTGATCAAAACAGTGTAATATCGCATACAACTTACTTGTAAAACAGATTGCTCCGCCAATCCAATACGAAGCTTTCCAGCTACTAATCTAACTAGATATCTTACTTCTGTATTACGGCACGCTACAAACAACGTCTGAATTTTATCCAATTTTTTCGATAGAGACTATAGAAAAAAAAATTATTTTACGTAAATAACACGGTTTTTAACTCTCTTATTTATTTCTATATAAATATTTAAATTTCTCATTAAAAAAAAATCCTAATTATAACAGTTGCATGGATTACCGCGTGCCCCGTCATTTGAGCAATTTCCATCAATTTGGAATATACATTGGGAACCGTTAATGGTGCCGGTTGAAACATGGTTCTCTGATTAGATTTACTATTTTCCGCTATAATTCCTAAATCACCAACTTCCTGGACGTCAGATCTAATTTGCGCCAGCGTTCTACCAGTACACTGCGCTATCGCCTTCATTAGATTCGTGTCAGCGATTCCAAACTCAACTCCTAAAATTTAAATAGTTATTTTTTAATAAATATTAAATGTTGCTTTCTTCTGAAATTTAAATAATTAATATCACACTATTAACCTTCGTACGCTGGAGCTAATTGATTAAGGCACAGGTAAACGCTCGGCAAAAGATCCTCGGGACTTAGGACTATAACAGACCGGAAGTAATTTGACAATATCTCTATTATCTTTAACCTTGCACTAGTTTCCTCGATAATCTCCAAAGTGCGCGCGAATGCGCTATATGGAGTCCTGTAAGTAAATTTCAGAGAGAAGTTTTTAAATATCGCTAAAATCTTATAAAATTCTTAATTTCTTAAAATAAATAAAAAATCTCTTAAAGAAGAAAATTATATTTTATCTCACTTATCCCCTCGTTTCCAGCACGCATTGTCTATCGGATGATAGACGGACGCGCTGGGATTGTAAGACTGGTTGGCACTCTTTCCATTGCTCATTTTGTCATCTTTTGCATCGCCCTTTTGCTTAGACACTGCAACATTCAAATAGCTATTTAAAATAAAACTTTTAAAAACTTATACCATATTTTAAATTCATTTAAATCTGTGTTTTGAAATTCAATCCACAGTTTTTACAAAGTACTCTTAAATAGTTGAATACTTACTAAAAAAGTTGGGCACTTTCTTAGTCTTTTTTTCAGACTTAGGCTCTTTCTTTGACTTTTCATCCTCAGAGAGAGTCTGCAATTTCTCGGGTGTAGACTCTTTTTTTGGAACTTCATTTTTAGAGGGATTTTGTGATTTCTCAGGTGTAAATTTTTTCTTTGGACTTTCATTCTTAGAGGAAGTCTGTGACTTCTCAGGTGTGGACTCTTTCTTCGAACTTTGATTTTTCTCTTCATTGTCCGAAGCGTTTTCGTTTGCGTCATTATCAGAAGCATTTTTATTTATATTGTTAGACTCAACTATACTTTCGGTCTTCTTCTCTTCATTGTCACTTTCCAATTTTTTTGGACTTTTAGGTAACTATAATCATCGTTTGTACATACAAGAAAAAATTACAGAAAACTTAGAAATTTATACGGTCTGATCAAAATCACATTTTAACCTCCAGGCGAAATAAAAAAACAAATATTCGTTTTTTATTAAATTTGAGTCAAAACCGAAACCGAAATCGAAACTTAAATAAAAATGTTTAAAAAAAAAACAATTTTAGAAAGAAAACTTACAGGTAGATGAGTCTCATCATCACTAGAATCTATCAGCTGAACTATCTTGGTCCATTTCTTTTTCACAGTCTTCTTTACTTTTTCTGTCTCATTGGACTTTGATTTCTTCTTTGAAGATGCAGATTTTTTGGTTTCGTTTTTCTCTTCAACTATACTGTTTTCTGTATGATTATTCTTTACCTTCTCTTCAATATCATTTATATTTTCATTCTCTTCTTGCTTCTTTTTCTTTTCACCAGGTGTATCTTTCAGTTGCCTTTTCTGTGTCTTTTTAGATGCTCCAGGGGAAAACTTACTGGGTTTAATTTTTGGAGTAGCTCCTTAAAGATAATTACAGAGATATGTGTAATGTAGTTGAAATATCTATAGTTTGACAGGATAGTTACCTAGTTTGGTACGAGGCTTAACACTTGGTGAAGGTGTCTTAGAAATTGTCTTTGACTTTGTACGTTTAACGTTCTTTGAAGATGGACTGAAAAAATCAATTTTAAAAAAACAAATAAAATGAGAGATCTTTAATAATTTGCAATATTAATTCTTTAACAAATTATTGAATTTATAATCACCTGGAGCTGTTGCTACTATCTCTTTTTCGTTTGCCATTCTCTGTAGCATTCTGATTCTGTTTGTCCGACAAGTTGTGACTGTTGGTTGTATGTATCCAATTAAAAACAAATCGATTGTGAGCTGCGACTGCAAGCTCCAACCGTTGCATCGGCAGAGCCAACGAGCTCAAGCGCGAGCATGTAGTAAGGATTTTTAGCATAATCGACTACCATAGAGAAATAAAAACTATTAATGTAAAACATACCTCTCCGAATTATCCTGATCTGAATTCTCCTTCTTGGATGATATCTTAGTGAAGAAGGAGCTGCAAAGATAAAGCAAATGACATACACACTTATCTATATACAAATACATAATTATTATGCTAATTATATTGTGTATTTATAATTATAGATTAAGTTACGTCAAATTGTTAAATATTTATTACATTTACTCACTCTATACGACGCTGCGCCATTATTACTACGCTTCTACGCGTTTGACAAGAATGATAAGTTTCCCGCGTTTATTTCATGGCGTGAAAATGACATAACCTCACTTTCATAGATTAAATCTTATATATAGACAGAAAAGTCCGAGATCATCTATGTTAGCGCATACTACTAGCGCTAACTGAGATAATTGGATATCAACTACATAGCAACGTCCACTATCGATGTTTCCATTATTTAATTCGTGTCCGTGCTACATTCATATCTTTAAAAAAATTATATTGCATTTACATATAAAATACACTACTCACAAAAATTAGAGGAACACTTAATTTTTTGTAAAAAATAAACAAAATTCGGACAGTTGTAACTTCGTTAAAAATAAACGAAACTTGAATTTCAAAAAAGAGTTTTAAAGCTTGAAATCTCTACTTTCGGAAGATTACTATTTTTTTTATAGTTTCTGTGAGTTTAGTAATTTTTACACATAGGAAACTACGAACTTAACGAAATGAGAAATTTTTATCTCACTTTGTGGGCTTGTCACACGTACGAAGGAAAAATCTGCGAAAATTTTCTCTCACAAAATCGTTTTTTTAAATGTTTCTACGATTTTTTGTTACTGAACTATCACGGATTAACTAAAAAGTGAGCACTTTAACTTTGTTCATAACTCCGTTAAAAATTATCGTATTGCAATTTTAAAACAAGATTCTTAAAGCTAAAACTGCTCTATTTGATGATGTAAACGTAAAAAGTAAATTTTTGTTGTTGATCCACATAATGTTTTTTTTATGGAAATGAAAAAGAAAAAATTACAAATTTTTACGATATTTTAAATCATTTGTATCATATTTACACGTTTTTTAAATAATTTTTAACACTATCAAGCAACAAACCATCAGATAGAGCAATTTTTACCTTTAAAAAAATTTTTTTTTAATTACAGTACAAAATGATTTTTAACGAAGTGATGAGCAATTAAAATCAAAGTGTTCACTCTTTTTACTTATTCCACGATAATTCATTTTTTAAAAACGATTTTGTAGGAAAAACTTTAAACTTTTACATGAAAAAAAAATTTTCGCAGATTTTTTCTTCACACGTGACAAAGATAAAAATTTCTCATTTCTTTGAGTTCAGTTTTCTATATGTAAAATTACTAAGTTCGTAGAAACTAATAAAAAATGATGACCTTTTGAAAGATAGAGATTTCAAGCTTTAAAACTTTTTTTTAATTCAAATTTCGTTCATTTTTAACAAACAGCTGTTTAAATTTTGTCTAATTTTTACAAAAAATTAAGTGTTCCTCTAATTTTTGTGAGTATAATAATTTAAATCTACATGTATCTAATATATGTATATTTACATTTTATTAACTTCTTTCTCAGTTTAATTAATTTGCTGTTTTACCTTTTTCTAACTCTCAATTTTAGAAAAATTCTTCTTAGAATTAAAAAAAAAATGAATAATAATTAATTGAACCTAAGTTGAAGTCTTACATTGATGGAATCCATCCTTACAGATGCAATATAGAAGAATTATATTCTTTAATTGGAGATTTTAACTTTTAAAGTTTCTGGTTATATTAAAACATTAAACTATTTTATTTGTAAATACTTAACTTTATTTAACAAATAACAAATATAAATCAAATCATATTAAAGATTTCACAGCTAACTTTAATCTCACTGACGTTCGAAAAGCATGGCGCAGTTCCTGTTCTGCCATAACAGCGATTTGATGTACTCTATTATTCTGGCCACGTGTTAATAAACGAGCAATGCGCTTGTTGGGGCACATGATGGATACCAGGGCATTAACACTGTCATCAGGTGCTGGATCAAAGTGTTCTAACTTCACCTCTAAACGATAAGGAACCTCATTTGGTAGAATGTCCAGCAGCTTTGCTCTTACTGTCTGCCATATTATATCTTGGCACGTATTTTCAGTGTAAATATGTCCTTCATACTCCCAGGCTTGTGGCTTAGCTGAGTCCAACAAGTAAGTCTGCAAAATATAAAAAAATAATGGAATATAGATGTTATGTTTCAAATATGGAAATTAAGAATTCCAAGAATTATATAAACAATGTAAATAATTTTATCACTCTTGTGTCTAATTCTTTACAATAATCAAAACTTTACCCTCAAGTCATCAACACCATCTCCAGTCAAACCAGATATCATAAATACGTCATTGAAATTTGGAGACTTCTTGCTCTTGGTCAAGCTGTATACAAAGTCTAACAATATATCCTTTTTCTTTACTCTGTCCACTTTGTTAATGATCAGAATTATAGGAATCTTGTTCCTTATATTTTCTGTCAAAATTTCTAATATATTTGAATCGATCTTATGTCTGGTATATATATTATCTGCATCCTGTACAATTCCTATAATATCTGCCATATTCAAGGAGGCTTTTTGATCTGTTTTGAAACTATCGGCTAACTTGAACTTTTTACATTCAGCCAGGGAAACCATACCAGGCGTGTCCATAAATATAAGCTGAGTATCACCTTCGCAATAAATTGCACGTGCTTTAGTTTGTGTGGTATGAACCTTGCAGGATACAGGGCATACCTATTTAATAACATAATATATACAAAAAGAAGTTATACAATTAAATTAAAAATTACTATAATAAACTTGTGCAAAATATATTCTATATGTTTTTAAAGTGTAAGCAAAAAATCTAAATAATATACTTTAATAATATAACTTAATTAATTGAATTTATATTGTTTACATAAATAAAAATATAATTACCGATCGTTTAACAAGTTGATTAACGAGTGTGCTTTTTCCAACATTTGGTGCACCTAGAAAAGCAATCTTCAAAGACTTTTCAGCTTCACGATGTATCGATGTATGATTTTCATTGACTTGTAAAGCAAATTCTTGCGAATCATTTGTCGAAATGTTAACGCTGTTGGAGAAACATCGCCGTAAATAACGCGCACTCACGCGAATTGCGTATCTCTCGATCGTAAATAACATTTTGCGTTTAAGACATCGAAGCGACTTTGGAAATTTTATATGCACGTTGAGTAGATCTTCGAAATTATGCTTCTCTTTATTTTTTATTTTTTCTTATGGTAAATGTACAGGAGACCACCCCGTCCACCTCAAAATGACATAAAAAAACACTAAATCAATACGTTTTCACATAAAACATTGACAAGATAAAAGTATCGCTTTGCTCAGGTTAGAAAATATGTCAAATTCAGGATGTGAATTCTTCTTGTGTAATGAATAAACCCCGGATCTACAATAGAGTTTTAAGCCTTAAGCCATGTAAGAAATGGACGAATCATAATCGATTATTCTCCTCGAATTCGACTGTAATTAGTTAATTTCTTACGGCTTAAGGTTAAAACACCTAGATTGTAGATCCGGGGTTAGATATATATTCAAGTTTAATAAAAATAATATTTTTCAAAATTAACTTTTTGTTTGAGTTAAAATTTAATTTTAATATAACTTTAACTGAGTCAATTTTTTGTTTATTCAACTTTTAATTCAACTATTTGAATTTTATAATCATTAACTTTTAACTTAATTTAGTTTGAAAAAAAACATTTATTTATCCAAACATTTATTTATCCAAAAATTTATAAAATAGGACTATTTCAAAGTAAAGATTCCGTAAGGAATTAGCCAATTACAGTCGAATTCGAGAAGAATAATCGACTATGATTCGTCCATTTCTAATGGCTTAAAGCTTAAAACTCTGTTGTAGATCCGGACTTACGCCAGTTATTATCACCATCAGTCCGTCTCGAATCGGTAACGATTTAGTACGTCACGCGTATAACTTCACGTCGTTCTTCTCACGCCGTCGCTAGCGGCTATGGACTAGCGGAGGAATGGCGGATAATGACGATTCGCGCGAAAATAGATATCTGTGGTGATTTGTGTCTATCAACGCGTGTTTGTCATAGCCTGTGACTTTCATTGATCTTTTTGCTTCTTCTCACTTGAAGCAAGACGAGAAATGTTGCGCCTCGAAAAAACTGTGCGATTGTTTGTAGAAGAGTAAGGTAAGGAAAAAAAGATAACCGGAGCACGAGGATAATGCGCGATTTCGGCAGGATGAGAGCATGAAAGTGTAGAAATAATTTGGAAGTGCTGGATCTTGGTATTTCGTATGAATCATATGAATCGCATCACACCGATGTTGAATGACGGATGAACAAGGCTCGATGTACGAAGTGTCGAGGTCGCCCGCGACACATTGGCGAACAAACACGGAAGATAAGTGAGTGTCACAGACGCCTCTTTCAGCTGGCTCCTCGAGAAGGCCTAAGAGGATATCATCACGTCTCCCGCTGACTGTTTATTATTTTGCATTTATGAATTTCCCTGTCCGAAACTTGTCCTAAACGCAAGAGGTAAGTCTGTTGCGTACAAGACGCGTCAACGCGTAATAAATGCTTGCATGGAAAAGCAGCTTTACATATGGAAAGAAACGACGCGACAGCTAATTAGACTCTGTTCTGGAAGAGTGTGACATTGATGCATTCTGTGTGCAACAGGCCATATAGCTGAAAAAGAAATGGCACTAATCTGAGTTTGTTCTCTACATCTTTTTCCCTGCACTTTCTACACCTTTCTGAACATAATCGTTGTAGGATTTCCTTACTCCATATCTCTCGCCTTACTAAAACAGCTGACTCCCTTTAAACTGATATTTTTTTCTCATACTACTTTTATGTTGTATATTTATCGCATCGTTATACATAAAGTAAAAAAAAATGTGCAAAGGAGTATGTTTGATGACATTTTATTTTTTCTATATGCTGTTAGAACAAAAGTGGATATTCAGGAGATTACAGAAACAATTTATCATACTTTTTTTTTTATGTTCAACAAATTAAATGAGCATTTTATCAGTTTCTTTTTTTATTATACTTTGCATGCTTTGCCTTAAAAAATAAAAAAATGCAATTGAAAAAAAACTTAATTTTACTTTCTATTTTCATAATGATTTTTACATAAACATTTGTAATATTTATAATATATTTAGTAAATTTTTTAATATGTAAAATATTAGCATATAAGATGTTTATTTTTGGAGTCATTAACTTCATTCTTCTTTATATTGTGTAACTGTATTTACATTTTCAATGTTTACCATCAAATACCAATCATCTTATTTAATTAACTGATAATTACATGGTGTTCTTTTCAGAACATCAATCATAAAACATGACAATGTACAACTTTAAGATAAAAGATAAACTTGACTAGTGTCATCAATGACAATAAGTCTATAACGGACAATGAGTAATATACATCAGAAGCTGATAGAGTGTCATCTATCCGAAATACGTGATCAGCGGGACCTGGAATCAATCTCAACGAGCAGGAGTGTTGCAAATTGTAAGAAATGTTCAAGAAGGATCATGTATAATTTTTACATTGGCGACAAATTATTGTAGAGTAAGTAGTAATACTGTTTCTAAAGTTTAGTTCATATAGGTTGCATATGAGAAAAGGATTTATTGATTACTTTGATAGGAAACATTAATCAAGAACTTGCTAATAATTTTGAGCACAAAAAGACATAAAAGAAAGTCTGTCAAAATTGATAGAAAATTTATCTAATTCTATCTGATTTTATCAAATTATGTGATAGAAAATTTATAGATTTTTAAGACGTTATTTAAAATGTGTCTTAAATCTTATTGTAATATAAAAACAAAAAAAAAAGAAAGTGAATAGATTATAATTGAAGTGGAGATATATATATATATTTTTTTATTATATATATATATATTCCTCGGTATTTCATAACGATACATAACAAGATCATTAAGTATTTACTGAAACATACAGACTATGATTTATAATCAACAATCTAAAATGCTATTTTCACTAGCTAACGATGGATCTCTGAGTCCGCTGCAGTGACTCCCTGATGCACTTCTGGCTCAACAAACCGCCGGGCAGGTTCGGCGGCCGATATCCTGCCACACCTATGCCCAAATCATACAGTAAGTGTACCAAAATACAATGATATGAATTCAGTATTAGTAAAGTATGAGCAAAAGGTGAAAATTATATATTACAATTCTATTTTTATATCTTGTGTATATTAAATTTATTAGTATTTTATATATTAAAAAATTTATAGAATATATATATATATCATTATCATATGAAGATCAGAATAATTTAAGAATTATTTCCTCAAGTAATCCTGTAGAATTAATTTTTAAAAAATCTGATGAATGAGTGAAAGAATTGAAAACATATATATGAGGGAAAATTTCAATATCTGTTATTCTTTTTATTTTTCTTATCATTATTCCATTTTTTATCGCCTTATATATATATATATATATATATATATAATTATTTTTGCAGGCCAATGTCGGCGCAGTGGCCAACATAGACAAATGGTGAGTGCTGTGCATCAATTCCAGGGCCTCGCGGGTAACTTCGCAGCCGGAAACGCATCTCTAGCCGGAAACGCATCTCTAGCCGGACCTAGTAATGTCAATAACTCCTGTCGAAGCTTCGCTCGTTCGACGACGTCTGCGCGAAATCATAACAATGAGAGCCATCATCACGGTTCGTCGACGCTTGGCGCCGCCCAACTCGCTCAGCTGAACAACATCCCCAAGTAATTAATGAAAACACAAAAAGGTCTACACTAAGTCAAAGGAGACATTCTGAGAGGAACATGCTCTTCCTATATACAGGGTGACTCACTTATACATATCTATCAGCAGAAAGATTACTTATAAATGATTCGCCCTCGGTTTGCAAATTTGTGACTTTAGTACAAAGATACGTGGCACTATGGTGGTATTAAATCGTCTTTGATTTAACGTATTGTTTGCAGCAATGTCACCGACACTAGCAATCAACTAATTCTGTCTAATACGACCGGCGTGAATAGTACAGAACGAAATAGAAGCCTATTAACTGGAAGTGTCTTTGAATTACGGCAGGCTGAGTTGGCCGGCTTCCGACTGCGCTGTGGCATCTGGTCTACCTTTGCTCTAGCAACAGTCTTTGTAGCGGCTGTCAAATTCTACTTCGGTTATCGAGTAAGCGCATCTGTATTTTAAGAGGATTCTTATTTCAAAATTTTATCTGAAAATTCTAATCATTGCTAAAACTGTCATTGTTTTACGACTTTTTATTCCTCTGTTGTTTTCTTGCTTTACTTTCTAATCGATTCTTATCTTTATACTAACAGGGGCCTGGTCTGGAGATACTCGTGTTTTGTGGGCTACTGATATTTTTGCTGTCCGCTTGTTTATACTCGATCTTCTGCAAGTACAATCATGAAAGAAATTGCCATCGCAGTAATCGGTCAGTGCATAACGCTCGTATACAGGAGGATCATATTGTTGCCTTGGCAAACACTTCCAGCGTTGTTAATAGAGCGACGGCAACAGTGCCGACGACGACGGTGAGACAGAACCCGCCTCCACCTTATCACATCGCTATCCTAATACCGCCGCCATCACAGCCACCACTTGCATTTTCGGACGAGGCGCCGCCACCCTCTTACGACAAGGTCATGCGATGAAATCGCCGACGCGGCGTAAAATCGAATTAGGACAGCTTGTCTAAATTCTTCCTTCGATATTTTTATGTCCGCTACATAAGGCAGCACAAATCAATTCTCTAGGTTTAAGCATTGACGTCTGTGATAAGAGCGCAATGATGATGACACATCGACTACACATCGGGAGGTTCAAGGAAAGAAAAGATTTTACGCGACGATATTTTTTAGTGGGCATTACTGGAGAGAGTCGCGCTCCGCCAATGAATTTCCGTTTGGTCGGATAAATGTATTCTAATCTTTTTATACTTTACTATATAAAACTGTGTGATATATTTAACTTAGGTTTAGATGCAATGCAGCGCGTTGCTGGATACTTGGATCCATTCGTTTATTCTTCCAGTTAGGACTTTTGCGAAGAGACCGCTCATATTCGGACGCAGTTCTTCGATATGTATAATTCCAAGAATTCACTCAATTATGTTCGATTACTTAATTGTCTTCATCTTATAGAACGATAAACAAAGTCGATAACTCTTGTTATACACATGCGCGCGCACAGAGAAGGAGGGGGGGGGGGCATACGAAAGAAAACAAACGTGTGAATTTGAGCCTGGATATCAAATTTGTAAACGTGTGCATGATCACTTAAAATAAGGTGGTAATAGTAGCCACGTTTGGCGCACAGTTTCTGTTATCGAAGGTGTCGCGCTCTGTCCACCAAACACGGCTCATTACTGAATATCATATATACAATGTACATGTGTGCTTCAGTAAGATATAAAAACGCATACAGCGTTTTACGATAGTTTACGAGTAATATGGAAATGTTAACAAGCTACGAATTTTCTTGCGAAATATAACACAAGATTTTGTATTTTTTTTTTCCATGAATGAATGTGAGAGCAAGAGAAAGAAAGCGTGTATGCACAAATGTAAATGATTGTTTATGTCATAACTCTGTATATTTAAGAACAGTTACATATATGATACATGATGTGAGATCCCGTTTGGATGTTCTTCGTAAAGTTGCAAGTGTACTGTGATGTACAAAACTCATCGTCGTGTTTCTAACTGCACTTATAATCTCGTTTTTATTTCGAAGATACAAAAGCAAAACTCAAATTCCCCTTTTCAAAAATTTATGATATAGTCAAAGAAATCTATCACGAATTATCTAGATTTTTACATATTTTTGTTTCTATATGACGATAATCAATTTGTTTAAAAAATATTGCGAGTAGCGAAACGAAAAATAATGAAGAATTACAGAATATGAATTTTGCTTTTATATATATATATATATATAACTTTTTAAATTACTTTTTTTCTTAAGGCCTGAGTATACATTTATTTTTAATCGTAGAAAGTCTAAGACAGTGTAATCGAAGAAAAGCACAGGGACTTAAGGTCCGTTTTTCCTACATCGTGTCACAGTTTAAGAAAATTGCAGTTGATTCGCGCTACGCACACGTCATTTGTAAGAAACATACTTATTGGGTCCGTTCTTATTTATTTTTAAAAAATAAATTTCGTAAGATGAAAAGAAGGCCACGTGATGTTATAAGTGCAATAAAAGCAGACCCAGAAGTTCTTATCGTACAGATCCAATACTTTTCGCGAAAGTGCGGAACAGTTCCAAGTATATAAATAAGTATTCAAGTATTAATTCAGTTTACAGCTGTACGCGAAATAATACAACAGTTAGGTGCAAAAGCAAACAAAATCTTCCGAAAAGCACAGCTACATATCGCGGAAGATAAATTCTCTAATAATCGTTCTACAATATCGCCGGTCTTAACGAAACAATTATCGAATGTTCTTTTGAAAATAATTATATATAAAATATAAATTATGATTGATAACAGTAAAATTGTATATAAATATAAAAACACGAAAAAATATTGTAAAAAACTTGTTTTTAAATTGAAATGCTAGACATTAAAGATACCTAATAGTACCAAGAAAAAAAAATATATATATATATAATATATCTTTATATATATGAAGATATATATACAATATATCTTTTCCATTTACTGACAGTATACTATATATTACTATGATACAAATTAGAGATTACAGTCTTCGGGATACAATAGTAGTAATAATAAAGCACTGATACCGATTGCAAACGTTTACGATCCTGTATACAATGCATATGTATGTTACATCAAGATGAAAGTACTTTGGAGGCTCTTGCCATGTAAAAAGTAATTAAAAATGAGACGAAGCGTGACTTGATGCATTCGTGATGTGTCTCATTATATTCCCATAAATTAGTCACAATTAACTGATGTTTAATTGATTCTTGTCTCTTTCTTATTAAAAATTGATTTAACTCAAAACAACTACCAATAAAAATCATTCAAATGTAAGAGAATCAATTTTACTAGGTCTTTGTAACTAAGCCAAAGAGAGAGACGAGGAATCAGTTAAATTTTAATTAACTGAAGGATTCTAAGGATTTTACATGTTTTTATAAGATTTCGGAGGAACTCAAATATCTCCTTATAATTATGCATGTTGATTTCAATTGATATATTTTATTGATATAATTTAACGTTTATTTTAAAACGGAGAAAACTATTCTCGAATTCTTACGAAAATGTCACACTGAATCCTTCAATTTAAATTATTATAATGTTCAGGAACGATATTATACACAATAACGAGTTCAATGACTCATCTTCTTGCGCACTGCCAATAAAACAGTATTTCAAGCGCGAACGATAACGAACCTTTATTATCTAAACTCTTTGGATCTCGAATAGTTTGACATCTGTATCGTACCATATGGGTGGTTCGACGTTTCTCAAATATATAACACCCCACATATACGTGCGAAACCACGCGGTTGTGCCGGCGTTAGCCTGATATCGCCTGATGAGAATAGGATGCGGCACTGGTAGTAACCCAACAAGGGTACCGTGTTGCAGAAACTTCAGGATTTCGCTCTCGTCTGTCAGCCCTCTGTTAAGATCAATAAAGGAGAACATATAAATATGAAAACAATAATGAATATTGTTATTTATATGGACATTTTTAGCGTGATTCTAAGCGCTGGTAGTTAACACTCTGAAATAGATAACTTATGCTTGTTATTTATAAATAAGAACACTCGCTCACTTGTCGATGCAGATTTTTTCAACCTGTGGTACAAGGACCTGAAGCAGTCGCATGATGGTCTGCAGAGGAAGTTTGCTCTTCCACTGATATACCCAATCGCTAGACGGTACCCACTGATTTACGTTATTGATATTGTTAGTACTCGCTTGCTCAGCCACACGAATGCCACCCTTCTAGACATCGAACGAATAACGATTGTCATTATTGATTATATTTATTGATTATGTGTTCATATATCGGTCTTTATTACTCTTACAGATCAATGGAGTTTTTTATTTCAGTTAAGAATAAACAATTTCATATCTCTGTTCCTTACCGGTACCACGGAATTCTTGGTCGCGTTCATTGATTCTTCTGTGATATCCGTCTTGCTCTCCGATCGATTACTAATAGATTTATTAATGTCAACGCTGGCTGATGGACTCAATGGATGCGCAGATTCTTTTTCCGTCATATTTTCGATACCTGTTAGTTTGACAAATTTATATTATTTTTAAATTTGAATTTCTCTCTATCCAATAATATTGTTATTCTAAAATTTAGATCGATGAATTTAATTGTTAGCCCAAATAGACGGAGACTCACCGGGAGTATCCAATAAGGATGCCTTCAAAGTGCCGGGTTCGGCAGGTTGCGCGGGATGCGATCCTTCCATCGCAGCTTCGCTGACATTCTCATTAGACGTACTCGCAGGCATATGACGACGCTGTCTCTTACTAAGAGACTTCGCGATCGTGTTGCAATCACTGGGCAGATTCGCGAGAGCATGGAACACTTGCCGTTTGCGTATTATAGTATAGACTAAATTACTGTTTCCGTCAAATTGATACTGAAAATCAAAAGTAACGTGAATTGTAGTTTATATTTAATTATTTATAATATGATAGTATAAAAACTGACACATACATTCACATATTCCTGAACCATACATGTAGCAAAATTAATAATTAAACATTCAAAATAATTTCTATTCTAAAATATCCAAAAATATTTTTCTTCTTATCAATTTTAATAAAGTAAATCTATTAGAAAGTATAAAGAAGTAAATTAGATTTATATTATTTATAAAGAAGTAAATTAGATTTATATTATTTATAAAGAAGTAAATTAGAAAATTAATAAAAAAAAGATTGTAGACCCTTCTCAAAATTTGAGAGCGATAATGCTACATAAATTATACTTTTTAACATCTTGTATAATTGAGAAAAATAGATCGTATATTGTGTGATTATATAAAATAAATGCATATTTAAATGTACGTCTTGCAAGCATTACCTGAATAATATTGTTAAAGATCTCGAGCAAAAAGAACACCAAATGGTGGTTAGTGGGTGCTGAGAAAAGAAACCATGGCGTACTAAATGCCTCCAACAAATGTAACAATTTCGTGCTGGCTACCATAGATAGTGTTTTAAGGTACGGCGACACGTTGACTAGAATCGTTAGTAGACAGTCGAAAAGCGGTTGCAGTCTTTGATGACCGGTCGTAATGATTTTATGAAATACAGTGACTAAGAGATCGGCATGCGTTCCTGAAACGGAATTATTATCATTTTTAACATTAATCTAGTAATTTATGATTTTAATAATTGGTTTTTTATAATCGAAAACATAAATCGACAATCACAAATACTATTATAACTTTTCTAAATTAAAATATTTAAAATAATGTTCTGACTCTTAAAAACGGCAAATGTAATATAATTATCACACCTGTAAAAACAGGAATATCCATAGGCACTGTAGCTGTATATGGTTTATTTAACCTCACTCCGAAATTGCGTTCTCCACTCAAAAGAAGTAAAATAAATACACCGATGTGCATTAAACCAACTCGTGCTAAAAATATAGAAAATTAAGTATATATACAAATAATCTACTTAAAAATATAATTCATTTAATGTATCGCTCCTCCAATCAAATTCCGAAATATTTTGAATTACATATTCCTTTTGAAGAAATCAATTAACATATGTATAATTAAATGTTAAATTAAAGAAGTATGAGATATATATATATATACAAGAGTAAAAAATCGAGGAATAAAAAACTTACATTGGTCAGCACGCGAGTCGTTTAAGTGATAAAGAATCGGCACGAGAACCTCGAGAACATCCGAGCTCTTTAGCACGTAATACAAAAATTTCTTGTTGTAATCACACATCTTCCAGAAGAATACTAGAAGTTCTTGATGAAAATGCACTTTTTTAGTCGAGTTTGGTAGATATGTTTGCATTAATGGATTATTCAACAATCTGGTGATACCCTTTAGAACAAATTGGAAATCTGTGAAAACAAAAAAATACATTTCATTCTATTTCTATATAATACCTATTTCCTAATCTTTCATTATATATATTTACTCTCTCTTTTTATCTATAAATTGACATTTAATTAAGCTTAATATTAACTGCAGATATCAAATTTCAAAGAAAATCTAAGAAAAAATTTTTATCTTTTATCTCTTTAATATTTAATAGTTAATTTTAAACATATATTGTTTTAACAAAACTTTTAAATCAAAATTCAATTATTACAAAAATATAAAATTAAATATTAAAATTAATATAATAATAAAGCTCTGTACATATAAAACAATATAAATAAAAATTAATAAGGGCAAAGAGCCAATAATATTATAACCACTTTAATTCAAATAATAATAATAATATAAAATAACAAAAAAAATCATATGTTTTGACTCCGATCGGGTCATTCTTAATGCTACAAATTAATACAAATCGTTGTGAAATACTTTAATAATGATACAAAAATTCTTTATCTGATAATGTATATAAAAGTAGAGAATTCATTATCTATTCCTGTATATCTTCTTTTTTATGTGTGTGTTGCATCAATTAAGTAAAAGTAGAAAAAAAATATAGTGTCCATCGTTGTAAATTTCGTTAAAATTTAAAATTCTAGTAAACAAAAGAAATTCAAAATTTAGTAAATAACGGCTAATAATATATATATCAATAAAAATGTACCTTATTATCAATTAACAGTAGGTGTTGAGCACAAGTTAATAAGATCATTTTTGTACACCAAAGTTTCGTTAAACTAATTTGCAGAAGCGGGCATCTGATGTATATGATGTCAGATAACGTAATGTGAGGAAGAAAAACATATGCTGGTAGCAGAGAATATAGGAGGGGAAAGAATTAGGAAACAATTAGGAAGAAAGGAATGTATTATATTGGAATATATTTCGGGCAATGACTCGTCTATTTATTCCATATTTTTGTTTCTTAATATTAACCATCTTAGATATTAATCTTTTCTTGTAAAAAAGTTCTATTAGGAATTTCTGTATTATTATTTAAGTATTTCATAACGATTTGTATTAATTTGTAACATTGAGAATGATCTGATCGGAATCGAAACGTATGATTTTGTATTTTGTTATTATATTATATATATATATATATATATATATTATTATTTGAATTAAAGTAGTTATAATATTACTGGCTCTTTGCCCTTATTAATTTTTATTTATAAATATTAAAAATGTTACCTTCATCGCGGTGGATTCGACTCAAATAATTAATGAATAAATTATCTCCGACTACTCCCTCTTCCAACGGTACTCCACCAGTAGTGTCATGATCTAAAGTTACAATCAAGATTTGCAACGAGACATCGACCAGCGGCTCTAAAGAATCAGTGAATAGCAAATGATTGTATGGCACTCCATATCCGACGGGATCGTATGCGCATACCGTGTTTAAAAGCGATGTGAACATAGGTAAAGCGTGTCTGTAAACAATCATATGTGATTAGTACATAATCAGAAATTAAATCAAAAATAATATAATCTATAAATATCCTATATAATTGACGAATTATTTTAGTTAGTGTTCTATTTAAATGTATTACACATATAAAATATACAATATTCAACGATTGAAAATATTTTATACAAAGGTACATATAAAATATAACAAGTATAAAAATATATATGATACATTACATACAATTATACTAAAATAATTAAAAGCAATAAATTACCTGTTTTCACTGCTAGTCAAATGTTGAATCCATCTGTTCGGCGTGATTGATAGATCCATTGGCGGATTATACATAGTTTCGCTGAAGCATGTCAACAAGAGCTTCAACAATTCCGTGCGGTTGGTATCTAGAATGGGATACCTAGGTGGCGAATACGCGAAGCCTACTCCCGCTTCCCATATATATTCACAGCTGTCTATTGATTGCAACTCATCGGCTTTGTCCTGTAAAGACATTACGAGGCATAACACGTTCCGCACTTTTTATCGAAATTCCGATATCAAACAGAGACTTACCGGACCGGATTTCCTGTTTGCAGCTACGGTAAAGTCAGGGCAAAACAATAGATCCTAAAACAGAAATGGATTTAAGATTAATTATTTGATAGACTATAAATATATTTTATATATGCACTAATATATATTCTTATATTGTATATAAAATGTTAAACATCGCTAATTAATTATTAAATATAATTTTATTACTAATAATATAATAATTTAAATACATACATTTTAGACTTTTATAAAATTTTAGAAACATTTAATATATGTCATATTATGTCTACTTTAAATATATCTCTTACACAAAGCGCGTTCAACAAAGAATGTGCCAGTGGTAAGCTCTCCTCATCATCTTTGCCAGGTAAACTGGACCAAAAGAAGCCTTTCCAATCGGGATCCTCGAATATGTAGGGTAACAAGCGTGTCAACAATCGGCAGCAGTTCAAAACAGTTTGATGCTCCCGTTGAGTCCTGCAGCTACTATCCACCGCCTTGACTAACTTCTCGACTGCCTTGTAGCATAATGTAGCTAAGTTAGAAGGTGCCTCTTCTCTTAACACACGAATCTCTGGGGCCGGAATCAGGGTAAAGATGTCCTGAACATTGGTTACGTTCTCAGACCAGAATTGATCCCAAAATATGTCGTCTGATGCATCAATCACCTGTTGGTATAATTACAAAAATAAAACTTGTGTACAAGATACAATAATGATCTGATTGAATTGAACATTTTGACAAATATTATATATTAATCTTCATTGTTCAGTATATAACACATATTTCAGACTCTTCTAATTTAATAATTAATTACAATAAATAAAAAATTTTAATATGGTAAAATTAGAGATTCTATAATAAAGTAATGAGTAATCTCATTAAATGAGCAAGAATAAAAAAGATGGGTACATATACCGTCCTTTTTATATGCTATCTTAATCTAACTTAAACTATCTTATTCTAACTTACTAAATTGACAAAAACGATAGTCAATCAAAAGTTTATTTATTTCGTGATTAGATTCTGTAACAAGATCTCTAGATAAACCAAAGTATATTCATATATGTGCAGAAAGTAGAAATCTAATCTTTATAATTGTTATATATACATAATTTTCACAATTTATCATAGCTGTTATTATAGTAAGTCAATTCACGAAATCTTAAAACAGTATATCATTTTAATAATCTCATTATCAGCAATATTAAATTTTACATGTTTAATACATTTTTTTTCTTATTTAACACATTGGCATTTTATATATATATATATATAAAATAAAAAAATGCAGATATTTTGAATTCATGAGACTTAGTCAAGTCATTGCCAAGATTTCGTCGAGAAATCATAGTTGTGTCGATCTGCCAAACGATCATATGTTATTCGTCAGGTAAATAAGCGAATGTCTGTACCTGAGTTTTCGATGTTAATTGCACTACAGCCTTCCGAAAATTCAACTTTGTGTCAGCATTGCCCATGGTGTTCTACGTTGTCACCAGCGGCAATTGAAGATTCGTTGCAGCCAAAAGGAAATAAAACGCGTCGTTGCTCTTTAAACGGACACCATCGTCGCCATGTTTGCATTGTGACAGCGGACAGGATGACAGCTAATCAGAGCTGCCAACCACGTTATTTTTCGCGCGAAAAAGATAAATAGAACGAACTTGAGACATACTCGATCGCCGGGAACGTTAGAAAAAAAAATTCCGAGGGAGAAAATAATAAATATTTATCACCTACAAAGGCTCAACTTTATTAAATTTCACTAAACAAAATTTATTTTTAGAAATGAAACATTTAATTATTTTATTATATATATATTATAAATATATAATATATCATTTGTTTTATTTTCGAATAACGTTTATACTTTACAAATAAAAATATAGACAATCTTTACAAAAATTATTTCTTTTTAATTTGTTACACTTTCGAATAATATTTGCACAAAACTCTTTTAAGAATTACATTTATCCCTTTTGTTGACAAATTAGTGTTTCCCTGTGCTTTTTGTTCCACTCTTCCATCTCATCAACGGAAATCCATATATCATTTGCAAGTAACTCCGGCTCTTCAAATGCTGCGAAATGACCTCCTCGAGGCATTTTGGTAATTCGTAAAAGATTCACGAATCGTTTTCTCAGTTCGTATGGACTTTGTTCCATGATTTCGTAAGGAAACTGTGCACAAGCGCTAGGAACCTTTATCGGTGTCCTATAAAAAAAAGGGACGCTTAATTAACACTTATACGTTACAATAATATAAAAACTTGCGATAACCAGTGTTTTCGATTGTAACAGGTTTCTATTCAATTTAAATTGATTTAATAACGATGAAAATTCTACTATTGGCAGAGCATGTAACGTTAACCAATAGCAAAGCATTAATCTAATCCAGGTTGGTTCAAAACCCGCTAGAGTCAAAAACGCTGAATAATTACATACCGTTCCAAGATCGCGTTCAAGGATCTATTCGACTTGGTATATAGTTCAGCGTATATTCTCATAGCTGTCGTAATGCTATTCGATACCCAATAGATCATCAGATTGTCGATTAACTCGTCGTATGTATATTTCTCTAAAAATCCACCGTCTGCTTTATATTTGTAAGATGAATTTGTGCCAGTTGAAAATTTTTCAATGATATACGCCGCCAAACCAGCAGGCGAATCATTTAGACCAACCCCTGAAACACAACGTTTTAAAAGATACTGGATTTTCATTCGTTTAATATATGCAAAATCTTACACATTCAATTAATAAAATATAAATGTAGGCTAACTCTTTTTGTGTAATTGTATGATACATGTAAATAACGTCGCATACCAACTGTATCCGGCTTCGTAGCTTGAATATGATAATATCCAGTCTCTCCCAGAAGTGAAAAACCAGTTCTTTTTTTAGTTTTTTTCCAAAGCAAAGGAGAAAAAAGATTCAATGCTTTTTTCAGTAGGATCCACTTATTGATGACTATGCACAAATTGGAATGTAAACCCAAGACGCTACAATTTATATATTTTTCACATATCACTATTTTAAAAATCAGATTATTAAATTTGTGTTGCAAGACCGACGATTGTTCGGCGCGCAATTTGGGGGGACTACATATATTAATAGAACGTTATTTCTTACTTTGGATAAATATTGCGAAGAATATTACTACGTCGACCCGCCATCAGAGGTCTATCGATATTCGCAAATTCTCGCAAGTGCTGAGACACGCGTACCTATATTTCTTTATATAGAATCTCGATTTAATAACTTACGTCTAAGGTAGGCCTCCATTACAATACCTTACTGATAAGTCCAGTAGTGGAAGCCGGGACGAAACGCCAAAAAATTACGTGATATTCTTCGCAATATAGAATATTAGAATAAATGATCAGATTTTGATTTTAAATTGTAATTTGACTCTTATTTGCCATTTTTAACGTATTAATTATTGTTATATAAAAGAGTCCTTTAATTCTACAATTATTTGATATCACTATTAATCAAGTTTAGTAACATATAAATCATAGTTATTATATATAACTACTATATAACATAAAATGTCATATAACGCTCAAATAAAATATTAATAATTTTATAATTTATAGTTGTCATAAAATCGAATTTAACAGATATGGCACATTTTATCACAGCGGACATCTTTAGAATTTCTGGAAATTTCAAACAATAGGATATCCCTTAAACATTTTTAAGACGTCCTTTGAACATTTTTAGGACATCTCTGTACTATATATAATAGGAATTATACGTTTACATGATATTTTACTTCAGTAGTTGACAATTATAAATGTTACTAAATCTGATTGTAACATGCAAATGTAATTATTATTTAATACACCTATTTAATGTGTAAGACACATCAGATTTAACTGATAATTTTTAGATTTTAGTATTTGATCATTTTTAGGCAATAAATAACTTACTGTTGTGGATATAAGCATGACATAGTATGGATAACGGAGGAACCCCAATCGCCACCCTGAACGTAATATTTATCATATCCGAGTCTCAACATGAGATTCTTGAGAACCGCACTCATTTGAATGCACGAAAGTTCAGGTATCGTAGCTGCGCTGGAGAAACCAAATCCAGGTAGTGAAGGTGCTATCACTTCAAACACAAAATCATGCTCGGGTTTTGGTGAGGTCAGTAATGGAATAATCTTATAAAATTCCATTATAGAGCCAGGCCATCCGTGCACAATTAACAATGGCAAAACACGTTTTCCTTCTGTATTATTTGGTTTCACATGGATAAAGTGAATGTCTAATCCTGTGTTAAATACAAAATATGTGCATGTTAATCTGTAACTCAATGTAGCATTGAAAAATAATAACACAAGAATATACGTAATTAACTTTAATACTGAAATCCTCTTCTTGATTTCTATAAATACGTAAAATTGAATTTTCAGACCGGAAATAGTTCGAATACTTATATATTCAAGTACCAGATTTCGTTTTGATTTTATTTTATTTAAATCAATATATGGAATTATATATAAAATATACTATATTAAAATCAAATATAAAATACATAAGCTTACAACAGAATATACAACTATATTTAAAAATCTTATAACTAAAATTATAGAATTTATATTAATATAAGTAGAATTATATTAATCCTATTATAAATAAAATCCTTATATAAAGATTTTGAAATCTTTAGTATTATGTATCATATAAGCTAGCATCTTATCATAATAGTCTACAAAATCTATTAAGTCAGGCAGCAAAAAATATTTACTACCTGAGCATCAATTATGTAACTTTTTTTTAGAATAACAGTACATATACATACATACAAAAAATTTTCACTTTTTATATTTCCATCCTAGGGAAAAAAATTACATGATAAATCCTCTACGTTTCAAGCTACACAAATACACATATACTTTTCTATTGTCGATCGTATTCTCGTACCTTGAATATTTGTTTTAAAATGCGAATACTGATTTATGTACTTCTCGCGTTCATTGAAATTATATTCGTTAGCCCAGTAGTCCAAGAATTTACGCAGAGCGTCGGTATTAGTGCCATAATTCCAAGCAACGTCTTTTAACGGTGGTGTCAAAGGTCTGGTATGCTTTAATCGGTACTTCAAATCTTTTACCATCTATAAACAATATTGTCTCTATTGCATACAATTAATATTTAATTTACTGTATTGTTTTCTTAAACTGATTTTTTATAAGATATTTTCTCAATCATATCGAGATAAATTCATTTGACTTTCAAAAGTGAGTACTCATTGTTATTCATTCTTTACAACTCTGGTTTCTACACTGACTATTAAAGGCTCTTTCAAATCTATCATTACATGCAAACAATGTTAATTGTTTATTATCTGTAAACAGCTGTTTAATTGAACCATTTTATGAAATTGCTTTTTCCCAGACAGCACAGAATTTAAGATAAATATTTATTACTATTCATTTTTCAAAGTTATATAAATATCTTGTAAATATTTTATAAATATTGTGTTCTGTCTGGATATTTTTATGTATAGAAATGTTTTTCCAATCATATCGATTCACAAGTATAATAACGATAACAGTAATGAGTAACTTTATAATAAATAAATAATTTTGTCGACCCTGCAAATACCTCTTCAGAAAAAGTAACTTTATATGGTCTGATATCATTGTTGACAGAATTCTCGATACCGGGCGTCCACCATGTCTCCGGCAATTTTAGTAATTTTGCTCCTCGAGACGAGAAGTATCGTCTCGTTAAGACGAACAGCATCGCCAAACAACTGAGAAGAGATATGCCAAGCAGTAGACAATCCATTTATAACTGACACACCTTATATTTAATTCTGCAAATGAAAATAAATCATTCAGATAACTATACGCATCCACTTTATGTACCCGACTATATAAATTCACGGCATGACACTACACTATCGCGTCACGCCTCGTCACGGTCGCGATAAACAGTGCAGTGATGTATTTAGTGGGCACCAAAATCTCGAAATTACACAACAGGAACAGTTCAAAGTATTCGAAGTCGAATATCCGCAGATAGTCAAGACATCTTGCAAAATGTCTGTGTTGCAAACATTTTCAGATTCAAAATACAAACGAAAATATATGATAATGTTCCATTTCATGCATAATATGCATAACATTGTATTATTTTATCTTTGTTATTACTGAATATTATTAAAGGATAATCAAAAAGGAATGATAACATATCATGCGTATCATGATGAGTAAAACGAACTCACTATTAGGACCATCTATAATTAAAACCCATATATCAAGCATGCATTGGAAATTAAAGATTAAAATTCGATCAATTAGAACGAAATAGATTTTAAAATCATATGATCGATCCAAATCAATTGTGATTTTAATAATCTTCAGTTAACTGCAATTAAAATGTCATTTTTCTCCCATTGTTTATAGCGTATCGTTGATGTTTTATTGTTTACTGAAATAAAACAAATTGACAACACGCACATATAGGGTGTTTTCCAACAACGTACACAGATGACACAGTGTAACACTGTGTCTTACACAAAGTGTTCCAACTGTGACACAGTGTTACACTGCTCGACACTGTAAAAAGCTAAGTACGAACGTGTAGAGTATGCCAGTGTTACCAATTAGAGCTCTATCGTTCCAACAAGTCTTTACACAGTGGAGCACAGTGTAACGTTTCTGTGTCCTAGCTGGAAAACAGCCATAATTATTCAATTCGTAGAATGTACACGTATCCACCCAAGGAAATTACGCACAAAAGGTTCAATAAAAAATTAAAATGACTTTATTTTAACTCTTAATTCATCAATAGTCAAATTTTGTAATAGAAAATCATTTCTTCTTTATCTCATGATGTCAAAATAAAGTTTTTAACTTTCTCTTGACCTCTGGTATATGTTTTTCTTCGGCTGTGTGTATTTGAAAAATGTCCGGATTAAATTCAAGGCCAAAGGACCTAAATTAAAGACGAGGATGACTTACCTGTTCCCAATTTCCCGTAAAGTTTCCCTGGTCAAATATATTCTTTCACTTAATTTTTCGCTTGATTGAATTTTTCGAAACTCATTTGTTCCGTTCAAAGAACGTTTCTGAAAGGGATCGAAAATTCTCAACAGAGGATCTTTCAACTATAAATACTTGACTCTCGACACTCTCGACTGTTATAACGTGCGATGCACATGCGCAAATCAGCAAGTAGCGTATCGGCATCGGCACTGCATTCGTGTTGATCGAGCTGATTCGTTCGTGCATGCATGCTGCATGGTGCCGTTAAATGAGAACTCATACATACATGTCGTGTGTATGGATAAATGGGTACGTATATACAAACCAGACAAAACTGTAAAGCGTCTTGTTGACCGCAATTGACTATGTAACGGTACTTTTCATACATTATACTTTTTAATACTTACACGATATTTTGGATACGGTTAATGTATATGTAATACTACAATTTCTTTGAGACTTTTTTTAGGTCTATATTTTTATCCTGCACTAGACTGTATTAGAACTTTATCTTTTTTACTAAATATCAAACATATATACATTATTATACAAATGTAAAATTACGCTTATATATAAAGCTACCATTAAATAACGTTTATTATAATAAAATAAAGGTAATTTATTATTTATTTATAAATTTTTGAAATCCAAGATACATACATATAATCACATAAACTTAAACAGAGGAAAAAAATTTATTTTTTTGACATATGTATTCTAAATATATACACACACACACTTTTGTAACACATTTATAGATTTATACAATATACATGTATGGATACGTATACCCGTCGTAGACTTTAATAATCCATAGATAGTTTTTATATTGTACAGTTGTACACATATACGTATAGATTATTATATTTTATAAACGCACATTCGCGCGCGCGTAGGTCATTTAATACAAATGGCTGCATTCAACGGAAAAAGTAGCTTTTCAATTGTTCTTTAAAATTCTTTAATATGATTGATGGTCTTGCCCTTAGTTTCTCGTTAAATCTAAATGTATAAACCAATTATATTCAGGAATTTTACAACAGTTAAGTACAAAGTCGCTTTTTCTACTAAACGCAGCTATTTATTTTATATGCATGCGTAAGGTGCGTAAGATTTAAATTTTCTATTATCGATAGAACAAGCAAAAACTATGACAATTCTAATAATTCTCCGAAAGAGGTCTCTGGTCTATTCTGTCAAGTCTGCGATATTTCTAACGTGAGTCATGATGATAACATTGTGAGTCATGTAGCAGGTAACTCAAGGGGGTGAAACTAGGATCGGGCAATGGGAGACAACATAGCGGCTGGGCCAGGCAATTTCGGGAGTGCGCGCGCCTGCGCAACAGGTTGTTAACGAAGTTTAACGTTGAACGTAATCGTTCGGCTGGATGGACATATTTTACTTCGAGTCAACAGTGACATCGAGTGTTGTTTCGATCATGTAATTAAAGTATTAGGATCTCTTCGAACGCGCGTACGGATGTCACTAAAATGTCATAAGCGTGCACACACACAACACACAGAGTTCGAAGGGACTAGTATCTGTCACTAGGAGCGTGACGATCATTCTTGTCGCCATCGTGTAACATGTGGTATGGTAACACGATATTTGCGCTTCTCAGTATATGTTCTGTGAAGTAACTTATACTTTTCAAACGAGATTTAAGTGTCTGTATGTTTAGTGTCAGCGTAGGCATTTTCTAAAAAAAGAAGAAGATAGGTAAGAGATTAAACAATATGGATTCATATCAGACCTTTGTGAAAATATTCAAACAGGCAGTATCTACTAGAAATTATTACGAATTGTCGAATATCTGTGAGAATGGTCATGAATTCCTCGCAATTGTTTCGCTCGAACACAGGGGTAAATATTAATAATATAAATATAAAAATACATATGATATTTTATAACAATATTTTGTTATTTTATGAAAAACAAAATATTTCTTATTCATTTTGTGTTATATTTGAATATTATGGAATATATAGAATCTATTTTTTTTACAAATATTTACACTCAAAATTTTTAAAAGCTTTGATGAAGGAATTATTTGTTCCACATTAAAATATATAATTTATTTTACAAAATCTCATTTTTTTCTGACTGTATTATAATTTTATAAGAATATATTGTATATTTTAAAAAATTATGAATATAATTAAAAATTATGTGTGTGTGTGAATTGATTATGAAACAATTTATCTGCATATATTAATATAATTTGTTTTTTAGAATTAATTGTATGCAGCATATTTGATGAAAATAATGGCTTGTTGAGTTTCCTCAAATATGAACTTTACCATTATGTACCAGGTAACAAACATCTTAACGATGCGCTAAAAGAAGCATTTCATTTTCTTACATTTTTTATTGAAAATTTTTATACTACTCCATGTTTTATACAATATATTGATCAAATTAAGGTAAGATATATTATACATTTGATATTATTTATTTTAATAGATGTTAATAGTACATGATAAAAATAATAATTAGTGATTAATGACATCTAATGAGTCAAAAGTTTAAAGTATAATATTATCATATTAGTAATAGATAGTACTTTATAAATTATAATACGTAGGTCTAAAGAGATTTGATGTTATATATTTTTCTATACATATTAATATTTTATAATAATATTTTTGTGTTATAATTTATTGCAGTTTGTGTGCCAGTTAGGACTAAATGTAATATGTAAATATCTTGTCAAAAAACATGCTTGTAATGCTTTTATAAAATTGATAGAATTATTTAAGGATTATGACTTAAAATTTAATGAAACAATTCATGAGTTTTGTTGGAGATTTAATAAATTTGAGGTAAAAGGTAAAAACATATTATTAAAATAAAAGGTAAAAACATATTATTTGAATTGAATTGTGTACAGAATATAATATCAATTTTATTTTAGAAAAAAGATTTATATTCTGTATACTGGGTAAAATAATTAAGCACAATGAAAGTGTTCGCTCGTCGCGGTATTTAGATACTATTTTCAGACAACTACATGCTGATGCGTGTCAAGAGGTAAAGTCCAATAATGATCCTTAAACTTAATTGTAAGATAATTTACTAATTTTTGAAGAACTAATATATATTTATATGATATAATTTTATGTGCAGTATAATCTCAATATCAACGTACGACAGGACTTCCATTTGTATTTTGATGCTCTTGCGGACATATTAGATGGTGTAAAACCGCTGAATGCAATAAAGGATATACTTCTCCCTAATTTGTACAAATGGATCAAAGATCTCAGCCAACCAAATCAACAAGGGGATAACCAGGAGAGGGTCAAAAAAGTTATGATATCAGCACTTGATTTTCTACGTCGTCATATGAATCTATTTCAAAATCTACTGTATCCTGATTGCATGTATTGGCATGATATCCTTCAACGCTTATCGCTCAAAACAACCACTTATGGCATTTGTGGACAACGTGCATTGAAAAAATTTTATCGAATTATTGGGCAAATTCTTATAAATAAAAATAGTGACGAGAGCGAAATATTAAAGGTAAGACATTATATTAAATAATAAAACATACAAAACATTTTAATTTGTTATTTGCAACTAAAAAGGAAATTCTTATGAACTGAATCTCAAAGAACATAATAGATAATAAAATTATATTCTTTAGTTAATTCCAGCTTTATAATTTACGATGTATTTTTGGTTTTAGAAATTTTTGGAATATTTCTGTAGAGAATTCGAAAAAACTAATTTAGATGTAACCACATTGCGATTAATTGTTTATGGCTTCAGTCAAATGGCTGCGCCATGCAAAGTGCACAAGACTGCATTGAAAGTAGAACATATGTATTCCATTACAACCAGTTACGCGCTTCCTCATTGTTCCAGGTAAAATATTTTAGATATATGAGGATAATTTTAAACAGTTAAACAATGTGGCTCAATGATAAACAAACATAAATAGAAATGAGCATACAGCCACAACGCATTTGTAAAAATCATATATTTTAAAAAAAGAGAAAAGTAAATGTTTCGGTCAAGTTTTGACCATCGTCAGTACATAAAAATTAATTTTATTGATTTTTTTGAATAAAGAATGCGCAATATGAAAATAAAGTTGTTTTAACCTGTCGATTTTTCTTAAAAAAGAAGTATGAAAATTATTAACATTTAATTGTAAAATATTTTGTAAGTGGACAAGAATTAATCTTTCATTAATACAAGTTTTTAAGAAAAATATCCTAATTTTCAGTTTCAAATTCTTTTTTATAAGATTCATACATTGTTTTAATAAAACAATATTGAAAGCCGAAATAAAATCTAATAAATTCGAAAAATGAGAAGTTTTGTCGCATTTTAATGCTCGCGAGATATATAACAGTCAAACAATGTGAAAAGGTGGCTCAATGATAAGTAAATATAAATAGAAATGAGCATATAGACAATTTTAAACAATTTATATTGGAATTTCTTTATAATTCTTTATAATAAGAATTCTTTATAATAAGAATTCTTATAATAAGAATAATAATTCTTTGTTCTTTTTCAAGCGAGCATAGTCATTCGACGATGATAGAGAGCATCTGTTATTATCAAGAAATACTCTCAGAAATACTGTATCACATGACTGATGTTACAATTGAAAACATTAATGTTCTTATAAAGCTTAGTATCTACGCGATCAAGAGATTCCCCGATTTAGCAATATCTAACAACGCGGTCGCCATTTCAGCATTGACTAAAACTATCAGCAATCTTGCGAGCGTCAATAAAGATCTACTGCAGCGATACCTCGATAGTATAGGTAAATAAATTCGATGATCTTTGATAAATAATTGTATATATAATGAATTTTTAAAGAAAATTTTATTCGATACAATATTTTTATTCATAATTACCTAAAGAGTAATTATATGATAATAATGAAGTTTATTTTTTTTTCGAAAATTTTCAATGTATTAAAACCTCGTTTTTGTGATTAGTTTATGACGGTATTGCGTGGAGTTGCTCGCACACTTTGGCGCTTGACGCAGAATTGCAACGGGAATTGAACAATCTGAAACAGTCACCAGTATGCTACAAGAATTACCTACCGCTGTGGACGGAGCTATTGAATGTTGAGAAATATCATGGAGGAATATCACAAGAACAGTTAGTACAATACGTAGCCAACACTATGGTAGACGTATGCATCAGGTTGATAAATCGCCTGAACATAAACGTGAAACGAAGGAACGAGGATACTGTATTATCCGATGTAGCTCTGACTCAGAACGCCGTGAATCAAGCGGACTTCCGTGTGTTTGTGAATCTCGTGGACCTCTATGTCGACGTGATCGATGCATCAGAGCCGCAAACGTTCGCCAAAACCGTACACAGATTTCTCTGCGAAGTAATTCGATTATCGTACAAATATCCGCTGATATCTGGCTTCTACAAATTGATTCGATCTGGTATGAAAGTTTTTACTTATATATCAGAAGACAAAGAGGAAGAGAAAAGCGCAGAGTTGCGACGAATGGAGGAGCTTTTATCTAATTACTTATGGTACACTCTCGATCTAATTCCTACGTTCTCCAATGAACTACTAATCGCATGTCTCTACCTGATCCTAGACACACCCTTCATGTATGTCAAAGATGCGCTGCCGCGCACACTATCGATGTTTAAGATCGCGTTCACTGTTGGTCTGAGCAACTTGGAACTCGCGTATACCGCGCTCACTTCTCTCGAGATATGGATAGCAAAGGCACAGGAACAGAAACAAGATGAAAAAATAAACGAATTATTACGTGAAATCATCGTGTACTTAGAACCTTATTTGTGCAGCACGGAAAGCTCTTTTGAGGTCTCACAAGACTTGATAGCGGCGAGAAAGCGCGTGAAACATGTTGATGTTATCAATACAGATTATACGCTGCGGAACTACCAGCGGCGAGTTTTACTGTTCCTCGGATCGCTTGATCACGATATGCTAACGAGTTTTGTGCACGAGCAAGCTTCTCGTAATACTGGAGCGTCCTGGGATTATAAAGAACTATTCAAAGTTTGCAAGTACAGTCTGTTACTGCCAGATGTACAACTGATTATCCATTTTGACCGGATGCTACCACGGGTAATTGCGTTAGCGCGCGACTCCAGCGATCGGCGCACGAAGATCGCAGCTTGCGAGGTTCTACACTCAATGATAACTATTATTATCGGCTCAATAAGGTCCGATCCAGAGACTCGCTTTCCCACTCTTTATAGCACTTTATGTCAGACCGTACTTGTTCTCGGCTGCGACTCAGATGAGGTCGTATGTAGCCTCTTTCGTCCACTGGCGATGCAGCTAATGCATTGGTGGAGCTCCAAGCTCGAGGCAATGTCGTTTGTAATCGATTCACTTTTCGACAGTTTGATCAACGACTCGAATCCCGCTTTGCGCGAATTCTCCGGCATGTGTCTTGCAGAGTTCACACTCTGGTCAATCAGGTATCTCAATATGAACTAGGTTTTTATCATTTTTTTTAAGACAAATGTCAATATCAGAGCGATTGATAAATCAATCTGTTTAACAGGCAGGCCAAAACAGACAGAGTGCAACATGTGGAGATGATCATCGAAAAGATCAACAATCTCGCGTTGCATCCTTTGACGCATAAACGCATAGCCGCAGCCGTAGCCTTCAATCATCTCTATAAGATTTTACGCGAGGAAGACAACCTAGTGTCAATATACTGGTTGGAAATATTTTATTGTTTTGTCCGCAGCTTAGATGGATGCAATGATCTGTCAATCACGAATGCATTGGCCCATATCGAGAAAGTAATGAAAGTCGAGGCGGAAAGTCTAAAAACACCCAATCATGACCGTCGAAAACCGCACGAGTTCGATCACGCAACACTGACTTACGCTCTGTACTGGTTGCTGTCACAATGCGGAAATTTCGATGAGCATTACCGTGCGAAATGCATGGAACTGTACGTTAACGTGTCGCAACATATCGACAGTTCCGCGCAGGAAACGATGCAGAACTTCGTTGATACTTATGGAACAGAACGTCTGAACGATGATATCATCTTAAAAGGCTTAAAATCAAGCATGGAGGATATTTCCTCGGCTAGTAATATGAAGTCACTATTGAAAGCTCTCGATTGTTACATGTGGCTGATAAATAAGAAATTGCTAAGTGTAGAAAAACTCTTTCCCGCCAATGATATAGACAAGCAACTAATTTTTGTCTATATTCGTAATTTTACTTGTCAATTCTGGGAAACAATCAAAGAGTCCTCGACTACAATGAAATCTAGAGAACTCGAACAACTACAGTGCAAAGTTCTGATGACTACGTTAAATTTCGTACAAATGCTATTGAACGTTAACGTAAGTTATTTCAATCTTTTAGTTTTAGTTTACATTGCTATATACATATAATCGAGATTTATCGAATAATCAAATTTAATATTAAAAATAATTAAGGCAAAATGTGATTATTGATTGACAATTACGAACAAATGATTACCTATAGTTTAATAAATAGGATTTATTTGAATTAATATCTATCTACGTATTAATTGATAAATAATTTTGCAATAAAGTTTTGCTAATTATTTGTTTTCCAGGTCAATTTTCCGAAATCGTTATGGGACGAGTCATTGTCCGCTTTAACGATTAGATGTATAATGCATCCACGAACACTCGGTTTCAATATGAAAAATATTAGGATGATGGATAAACTGCCACATGTCTTGGAAACTCTGTTAAATTCGATGAGATCGAGATATAATTATGTTCTGCCGGATATTTTTAACAAATATCTTTTAAATTTTATTCGGAAAATCATCACAAAACTTCTTGATCTACAAGATATCAAAAAAAACAATTGCTGCGACGATCTGATTCAACACGTTAATGGTCTGATTCTATTAAAGCGGTGTGACATGTTCAATCCAACGATGTTAGAAACAAGTGCTTTCACGAATGCTGATGACACAATTACGCAGATTTTTAAGTTTTTGGTGAATGAATGTATTGGGAAATTGGCCTGCAAGGACTTGAGCATGATTGAGTACTTGCGAGCTTTGATGGAATTTCAGTTCTCGCTACTCCCGCCGATAATTGAGACACCAGTGATAATACCCGATGATGTTCGAGCGATAATCGAGACACTGGTTAAGTTCATGTCTAACAATTTTCCATTAATCAGTGTGGACTGCACGATCACGCACGGCGAACATTTTCTGAATACATTCAGAAGTGTGATCTTCAAATATATGTTGACACACGTGAGCGCGATCACCCACGTCTTTGATATATTGCATAACAATCCGACCTTCCTGCTGTAGTGGATTGAAGACATGTTGCTGTTCCTGAAACGGCACAGGCGCGAACTGCAGGCTCACGTGGACATCATAGTCGACTGGATTCTACAGCAATTTACTTATCTAAAGAACGTCATTTTTAATGTGGACAGTCGCAAAGAGAGACTAATAAATATTTACAGTATCGCGGTGCATCTGAAGTCAAAGCCCACGGAGGTCAAGCAGAATGATGAATTCTATCAGTGGATTCAGGATGAATTAACGAATAATGACAATTTCGAGTATAAGACAAAGATTCTTAAAAACTTCTTCGTCTGCCTAACAGATCGCAATGACTTGCAGATACGTAGGGCCTTAAGATTCAACAGTCTTTGCTCGAATCTATCTGAGACGAGCGTGAACACCATGAAAGTGATCAATTGCTTCGAGACACTGCTAGTACTGCTGTCGACGACCAGATCAGTGATAATGCTCGAGTGCGTGATAAACGTTGTCGCCGGTACCGAGCGACATATTACCGATAGAAATCGTCTCTTCGACGAAAAACTGGAGGAGCATCTGCGTGGATACTACTATGGAGCGTCCCTTAAACACGTTCTAGAATCGCTGCAAGAAACCTACTCTAAGTTTATGGAGATAAACACTACTGAAACGAAAAGACTTCATATTTTGCACAGGTTTCTCCTGCCAGCGTTTAATTTTTGCGACTCAGTCGCTATCGAAAGTTTCTTTGAGCGTAATTTCGAAGTTCTGTACAATGAATACACTAATTTATCGTACATTTTAACTAAAGACTATGATGCATTGAAGCAAAAAATCGTAACGATGATTGGATACTCCCAATTACTTACAATTATGTTTGCCAGAGTGGATAAGAACAAAATACAGATGAACAAAATGAGCACACAGAGTTCAATGAATCTAAAATCTGATTCAAAAATTCTGATCAAAAGGTCTGTTAAATGTGACACATTCAAACTGATACACAGCAGCATACATATACAGACAAAAGTATTCAGACAGTCAGTAGAACAAAAACTCATGCGTCTGTTGCATCGTTCTGCATACAATTTCTTATTGGCGATCATAAGCTTGAATGAAAAGTACTATAGTAATGCAACTATAATAAGCCGTATATTTCGTAAATGCATTTGGGAAAATATTATAAACTGTAGCACACAGTACAAACTTGGTCAGACCTTTAAGGATTATCCAAAAACCTGCGAGATCACAGTCAATATCAGATCCACGGAAGTCGCCAGGAAGGAGCAACAGACGCATAGATATTCCTATGTTCACAGCTATGATTTATCGACTTGTACATTAAGTGAGGATATTAATGCCTATGATCTCAACAAATGTGTCGTGTTGCCGGCCGATTTTCATCATTCCACTCCGACAATAAATTCCGCCGATTCCGCTCCACTTCGCACACATAATGTGACGACCATCACCTTAACAAGCGACGATTTTAACAAACATGAATGCATGCCATATATTTGCGTTCTATTACGACATATCAGAAAGGCATTCATATCGACTGACACAGAACCCGAGTTGCTTAAGAATTTCCTCGACGTTATGCAGCTCAATGATATTCATGTGAATATTCAGCTATTCATGCTAAAAATTATTTCAAACACAGCAGATGAGGTATTCAAGCCTTACGCCAAGTTCTCGCTGACAAAAATCATCAAGACTATCGTTAATTATTTGCAAGGAAACAATAATTTGAATTACATTATTACGGACGTTTTGGAGATACTAATGGATTGGCACGATGTAGCCAAACCAAACAACGAAGACAGTAGAGCAGAGGCACAAAAACTTTTTGAGAGATTTAGTGAAAAAATATTCGAAAAAAATTCTGACACTAACAATCGCGTCCGTAAGTACAATCTCAATCTGTTAAGGACTATGGTAGAAAAATGGCGCAGCTGCTTACGGCTGCCGAGCGATTTCCTAAACCAACAAATAATATCCGCGCCGTCAGCTGCAGTATTTCTTATCCTGATATTTCTCAACAATAATATAATAGAGGAGATTGTAACTAAAGATGATATCGTTAACTTTCTACTGAAGCAATTGGAAAATTGGAATGCATCTGATTCGGACGAGACGCCTCTGCAGTGCTGCGAGTGTCTCGGTTTGTATCTACGTTTTCTAGATAACAACAGGCGCGAAAGAGATAAAAATGAAGTAAAGGACAAAATCTACAAGATCCTCGGTGATTCTTCACTGTATCACTTGGACAAACAAGTGAAACGCGTCGCTCATCTCTGCCAAATTTATCCCGAGGTAGCCCAAAATTATATTAATGTCGCGATTAGTGCCATGAATGCGAAGAAGTACCAGGCGAAATCTCTAGAAATATTAGCGTTAGCGATACCTGGACTCCCTGCGGAAAACATCATTGACAATCTGTACCATATAAGGCTGCAGAAGATCTTAGAGGCTCGGATGTCGTGCTGCGAGAAGGTAGCATTGCGAATCGTTCGTGACGTGGTGAATATATTGCCGATAGAAAAGCTGCCTGAGAAACAGGAAACAGTGATTCTATACGTCAAGGACAATATCACGGAACACCGAGAATTGGTTTATGACATACTTATGAGGATCCACAAGAGATGTTCGGCAGATATCGCGGACAACAGTGCAATCGTGAAAAATTTACTATCTGTCAGTGAGCGAAATCTACTGACCGGTCTATTGGACCCATCTCCCGATCTACAGGACAAAATACTAAAGTTCTGGATAGAGGAGACGAACCTGGGAACAAAGAAATTGAAGGATCTATTGGTCTCGCTTTTAAAAATGTATACGCCTCAGCTGATAACGGAAGAGGATGCATTCGCACCCTTCGTGGCATTGCTAATGTTGCAACAGGCCACTAAATCGACATATTATACGAAGAAGATATTCAACGATCCTTTACCTTGTAATACAAGTCGTTTCAAGGAGTTTAACATAACCGTTTCCTGGCAAAGGCGAAATCTGAGCTGCGTAACGCCAATTTTCGTCGACTCACTCGCCTCTCAAATGAGCTACAGCATCTTTTCTCAGAGTGTTAATAACGATTTAAGCGGTATGATTCCTACATTCTCTCATTCACGTCTCTTGCAAGATTTACGCACAACGCAAGATCTGCAGTTCGAACCGACTCTTGACGACGACGACGACGACAACGCCGCGGATGCAGCTACAATGCTTGATATTTCATTGCACAACACTGGATTTGATCGAACGATAATTGCATCCTCGTCGAGACAACCGCTAGAGACCGCGAAGCGCAAGACATTCACCAGAATTCTGGCGAATACACCAAATGTCACAAACAACTTCCGTAACGATCAAATACGAAAAAATTTGCAACGGACAGAAAGAATAAACCAGGAGAATATCAGACAGAGAAGTAGTGTGAAATTGTACAGGTAAGATTATTTTGACTTGATAATTTTTTAGCTCAATTCCGAATAATTCTATGCTAACGTTTTTTCTACTTTTATCTAGGAACTATAGGATCGGAGAGGTTCCTGACATCGAGATATCTCACAAGAGTTTTATCGTACCGCTTCAACAGTTAGTTAAATTGGATCGGCTGATCTGTAAAGACGTGATCGTGTCTCTGTTCTGTTCACTGATCGAGGAAACGACTGATCAAGAAAATAAATCTGATAATTTCCGTCAGACCATCGTAAACAGTCTGAAGAAAATCCTACATGAATCGTGCGAGAGGGACAGTTCTTTCAACGCTGTTATTTTAGAAACGTTGCTAAAGTTGAGTCAAAACGTTGCTACAATCGCCAATTGTTGTGATCCGCGAGACGTAATGAAGGCATCTAAGGCTAATCATTTGAACGCTCTCGGTGTTCTTCTCTTGGAACGCAGTTTACTGCCTGATGCGCAGGAGGACGACTCATTACCCACATCAAGCAAGAGAATGCGAATACAGGACGATGTAATTCATCGCGATGAGACCAATAAGTGGGTGCAACTGGCGTCTCTTTATAAATCTCTGAATGATGTTGACGTCACTCTAAATGTCTTCCGAGGACAATTTTTCGACCAGAACGTGCAGGTAATTTTTAAGATATTAGACGTAAACAGTTTTATCGAGTTAATTTGAATATAACGAGATCAAGGATAATTTCTTATATTCATAAAAAAATCATTAACTTTATTCGTTTTTATGTTCTTTTCACATTTAAAAAAAAGTTTTCCTGTCCTTCTTTTTAAAACAAATTGTTTATAATTTCTGTCAAAATTTGAAACTTGTCTAATAAAATAGAATTTGTTAGAAATATAAAAATTATATTACTTAGATTATAAAGATTATGTGTTATCCATCATTCTTTATGTAGGAAGCGGCTCTCGCGGAGGTAAACGGTGACTGGGTTCGAGCAAAGGATGCGTTTACGAAAGCTTATGAAGAAATAACAGATTCTTCAATAAAGGAACATTGCTTGCAAGGGTTACTTGAAGCAGTAAACAATCTCTGTGACTGGTCAGCGATCAATCAACTCGTGAAGAAACGAGTTGATAATCAACATGTGAGAAATAACCTATGCAGTATCTGGAACGACGCATGGAGAGACTGGATAATCCCGTATACTTGCGATGCCTATGTGCATATGATGTCGGAAAAGGAAGATTTGCCTATAAACTCGGTTATGGAGATACAGCAATCGTGGATATATGATCAAGAAAAATTGCAGCATCTTATGCCCTTGACAGGCGAAAATCTGGTGATGTTTCTGCTCAACGAGGATGTGAGAAAGGCAACCGATCTGTTAAATGATCTCTTAGATATGACGGGAAAGCAATGGGTTGGACTCAATCCTCTCTGCACCGAATTGCGAATACACAAATTATACAAGCTACAAATGATGAACGATCTCAATGCTTCCCTCAAGATTCTTCGTTGCGCGAACGAAGCAGAGTACTTGAACAGAATGGTGGCGCTGTTGAATTTATGGTCAATGAAAACTACTACAATTCGAGACAATCTTATTCAATGGAACAAATTAGCTGCCTATCGAACATATTCCTCGATATTGTTCCAGAACAAATACAGAGAACAAGAAGTGACAAAGCGGTGTGATCAAATCAATTATCAGCTCCGATTAGGTATCATCAACGCTGCGTTGAATCAAAAACACCGATATATTGCCGAGAAACATCTAAATTATGTAACAAGTGAAGCATTTTATGAGGAGAACGTTTGTTATCTGGATGTAATGTGGCTTAAAGCTAGACTCAAGTCTTTATTTGCCGACGTTGAAACGGACATTTCCAAGAAAATGTCCAATTACACTGCTTCCTGGAAAAACTCGCATAAATTATTGAATAAGAACGGTGAGCTCGATATCGACACGAGTAATGCCATCAGAGAACATATCAGCACAATGGCTTCGAAGATCGAATTCTTGAGCAGGGAGAACAAGGAATTTGCGATAGCATTAAAGTACAACACCACGATCCTGCGGGACATAGGAAAAGTAGAACACGGAAAAGAAATAACAGCAGTACCGGGAATACCAGTGGATGATCTGGATAATATCCAGAAATATTTGCTGCGTTATAGTTTGGAGAAGCTGCAATCTTGCTGCAAGGATACGACCACCGCCAACGTTGGCAAACACTACTGCGCCCTGGCTAAACACTGTTACGACAGATTAATGAGTACTGACGTAGAAAGCGACGAGATCTTCCAAGAATTTCTGTCGTCCACTTTGAAATCCATGTATCACGATTGTCTCGAAGCTACGCATTACTTCCCTTGTTTGCTGAAACCTGAACGATTACAGAACGACAAGACGCAAGAAACATTCGTCCAAGAATGTGCTAAATTGCAACCGTGGCTGTTTTTGCGCTGGCGAGACCTGCTCTTTTCCCATCTGAGAACACCGTCGATTTCAACCGCGATTATACCGATTATCAAAAAGCTCGCAGAGAAATATCCCGATGCGATTATCTATAATTATTACCTTACCGTCGAAAGGAACCGCAGTATTCTTAAGGATGTGATCTTACACGACAAAGCGAAAGAGTACGAGCGGTTCTTGCGAGCGATACAATACGTGGTGCAACCAGAACTGTATTTGAAACACTACGTCGAAAAGGCGATACAGGATCTATCTTCGGAAAGAAAAAATATGGCCATCGAATTGCTCTTGCAAAAAGTCTATCCAGATTCCAACATAAGCACGATAGAAGGAAAGAACCCGCGACCAGGTGCTATTTTTACAGAAATTGGATGTTACAAGAGCGATATAGCATCTTTGAAGCCTGAGAAGTTGCGGAAGCCTAAAGTTGCGGAAGAAGAATTGAAAAAACTTTTACAATCATTGAACGACAAGTCCCGAAACAATAGGAAACTGAGCACAAATAAGCTGGTGAAATATAGCCCGTTCTTGCAGGAATACATCGGTGGTAGTATCGAGATACCCGGACAATACACCGGTGATAGGGAACCCATGCTGCGCTACCATGTAAAAATCGTGCGGTTCGAGCCGCAAGTGGAGGTCATGCAATCACTGCGCAAACCGATTCGTATCAGCATGATAGGCGACAATGGTAAAGAGTACAAGTTTCTGGTAAAATTTGGCGAAGATCTAAGAATGGACCGGGGCTTACAGCAACTATATTCCACTATGAACAGAACATTGCGCAACGATCCTGACTGCAGACAGAGACGCTTGGCCATCGACACGTATGAGGTGATACATATTTATCTTTCAACTTAAATATTGTCAACATATCTTCATTACTGTAACACGTCAACTTTCCTTTTGTAGGTAATTCCGTTATCGAACTCGTTCGGTCTCATACAATGGATTGAAAACACAAGATCTCTGAATGAACTAATATACTTAACTCTGTCAAATAGAGAGATAGATTGTTGCCAAAACATTGTTAAGAAATATACAGACTGGATATGTGAAGCGGTACCCAAACCACCGCTGAGCGATTATTATAAAGAAGCTGTATCCAAATACAGGCAGCAAGCGGTCACGGAGAACATGAATCGTCTGATTAGAGAGACGAAGCAAACAGCTCTACGTGATGCGTTTGTTTCGATTAGTCCATCCCCGGAATGTTTTGTTATGCTGCGACGCAACTTCGTCACCAGTTACGCGACCATGTGTGTGGCGCATTGGCTCGCAGGAATCGGTGATCGCCACCTACAGAACACCCTGGTACACGTCACGACTGGACGTTGCTTAGGCATCGATTTCGGTCACGCTTTCGGAAGTAGTATACAAATACCTATACCGGAACTCGTACCATTCCGTCTGACACCACAAATCCTCGAACTGCTGCGACCCTTCACAGAACGGAACCTTCTAGCAACGATCATGACCTATACAATGCAGGCCTTGCGCGATGATCAGGGTCCGATCCTCGCTTGCATGGACATCTTCGTTCACAAGCCCATCCAGCGGTCGAATAAAAATTACGAGATAAACGATGAGGACATTGATACAGGTATAAAAGAATATGCAAATTGAGATATCATTATCTTAAAAAAGGCGTATAGACGTTTTTTTGAAGCCTCTATTCGTTGAGGCAGTTAAAGTAATCCGAAAATGGTGAATTTTGGTAACAAGGAATTTTCGGGGACGCTCTTTTAAAAACATGGTAAAAATTATGATAATTAAAAAAGACTTATCCAATATGGCGGACGGAAAAGATGCAAAAATCTTAAAGGTTTTCCGATTTCGACGAAATTTGGATTAAGGGGCGGACGCTGATTTCGAATCAAAATTAGGTCAAAATTAGGAAATTCCAAATGGTTGATCCAAAATGGCGGACGAAAGTGTTGCGAAATACATAAAAATTTAAAAATTTCAGCGAAATTAGGTAAATGGGGGTTACCGCGAACGCTGATTTTGATTCCGTGTTCCAAATTTTTAAATTCAATATGGCAGACGGAAATGTTGCGGAAATCAATAAGATTTTCCAAATATGACGAATTTAATAAGACGCAAAGAAATGTAATTATAATTTAAAGCTTAATCGACTATGGTTTGGTGTAAATTTTGTAAAAGAAAATTATATGGTCGTTCAAAAAACAAAAATGAATCGCGCGCGTAGCGCTCTGTGAAGTTGGCACCCCTAAATGCGAATATTGGTAATATCATTATTGCATTCGTTTGTCCACTGTTTGTCCACGTTTGTCCACCCGTTATTTTCTTTGGTCCACCCCACAAAAAAAGGTTATGCACAAAAAAAAATTGTAACATCCCCAAGTGATAATTTTTCATAATTATGTATGGATATCGTTTGTCCACAACGCGCACGTGATTGTCCACCCATTATTTTCATTTGTCCACCCTATTTTTATTATATTTTGCGTAATAATGTAAAATAATCACTTGGGGGTGTTACAATTTTTTTTTATGCATAACTTTTTTGGAGGATGGACAAATGAAAATAACGGGTGGACCAACAGTGGACAAACGAATGCAATAATGATTTTACCAATATTCGCATTTAAGGTGCCAACTTCGCAAAGCAGCTCTGTAAAGTTGGAATCTGTAAATGCGAATATTGGTAATATTATTACATTCGTTTGTCCACTGTTTATCCACGTTTGCCCACCCGATATTTTCATTGGTCCACCCTCCAAAAAAAAGTTATACACAAAAAAATTGTAACACCTCCAAGTGATTATTTTACACTATTACGAAAAATATAATAAACATAGGATGGACAAACGAAAATAATGGGTGGACAAACGTGGACAAACAGTGGACAAACGAATGCAATAATGATTTTACCAATATTCGCATTTAAGGTGCCAACTTCGCAAAGCAGCTCTGTAAAGTTGGAATCTGTAAATGCGAATATTGGTAATATTATTATTGCATTCGTTTGTCCACTGTTTGTCCATGTTTGTCCATCCGTTATTTTCATTTGTCCACCCTCCAAAAAAAAGTTATACACAAAAAAAGATTTTAACATCCCCCAAGTGATTATTTTTCGAGTTCGTATCAATTGCTTGAGAATTCATTTTACTAAATTAATGATTTTTTCGAAAAAATACGAATGAAAAATATCAAAAAAAACGAAGAACAACTGAATAAGATTAAAAGAAGACGAAAATCATCATCTTCATGACTATTTCAAGAAGCGGGGAAAAATAAAAAAATAAAAAAAAATACGAAAATCAATCATTTAAAATGAAGACAATTAATTAAAACTAACGGGAAAAAAGGAAAAGAACAAATAATAATCTCATAAATTAGACAAATCCAGAAAAAAATTTTAAGAATGTATAAATGCTTAAATTTTTTAAAAAATTAAGTAAAGAAAGAACCTACGTTGTAATTTTAGGGGGTTAACAAACCAGTTTGGTCTTTTCCAGATTTGTTTGTGTATCTCCAATAATTCTGAATCGCGCGCGTAGCGCGCGCAGGAAAAGGCTAGTGATGTGAATTTTGTAAAATAATTGGTTTGATGAACAAGATCGACTCTTTATGACAAGAGTAAAATAATAACTTTTTATAACTATGTTATAAAAATTATACGAACTATTTAGAAAAAATATATATTTATATGAAATATATATATATATATATTATTTATGATATATATTTTTTATTGTTACAAAACTAAGTAGCTATTCTGTATATGATGAGTGAAAAATGAAACTTAGATATTGTAGTAAAAAAAAAACCCATCATTTTTGTCATCAAACTTGCCTATGTAAGAAGAATAATACGTTTTATGATTCGCAGATTTAGAATGGTCCAAGAAAAATATCGAGATAGTTGCGAAGAAGTTAAATGGAATCCATCCTTCAATCATTACATTAGAACAATTGAAATCGCCATACAATAAAAACGTTACCAATGGATACTTTGACAATAAATACCTTAAAAAATGTTCAGCTATTGTTTCCGGCAATGATGAGATCAAACAAGCGCGAGCTGATATAAAAAGGGACCATTTGACTGCTGTAGAACAGGTAATTTTGTTACTAACAATTAATTACTTTTTTTTTAGGGCTCGGATTAACGATCGATTGTATTTTAGGTGAATTGTTTATTGGATCAAGCAAAAGACTTGAATATCTTGGGTCGTATGTATCAAAATTGGCAACCTTGGTTGTAATGCTGTGTAATATTCATAAAATATATGAATATATTACGTTTGAAGTATCGATAATTTAAAAGTTTATAAATTTTTTTTAGTCTAGAAAGCTTAAACAAAGAAAAAATTATTACAACATTAATTGAATAATAATTAAAAACTCGTGTATAATTATATAATAAAGATATGTATATATATGTATATACATATAAGATACAGTTTATAATTCTGTTTATTAACATAAATAAAATATTTTCTGCGTTATAAATATAGCTTATATATATGTCAAATGTACTAATACAGCAAACGGCTATTATTATATTCGTGACTGTACAAGATATGTTTGGTAAGCTAGAATTTCGTGGAAAATTATTACGATGGTATGTTAAAATATTAGACACATTTATATGTTTCTTAAAATCAGTATACATTTCTAGTTTTGTTAATTCATTGTGTATACAATATTGAAATATTTTGTACATCTTTTTAATAAAATAGTTTATTAAATTTTATAAATGTTATATGAGATTAATATACAATTGATGGATTGTTGAAAATTAAAAAATTTTAAAAATATAATTAGGTAGATACGTATATCAAGAAAAAGATAAATTATAACTTAAAATAATCTATAATATATGAGAGGAGAAAAATTAAATGATAATTTTAGATTTTATTATTTGCAAACTATTGAAAATCCTCAAGAAATTACGATTGACCTGATATATTAAATAAAAAAAATAGAAAAAAGTTATGCGATTATCTCAATGATCTATGTATATATCTAATGATACATGCAATAATCTTCTAAGTTTATGGAATTTCTGCAAAATTAAAAGAATTATTAGTATTAAATGTCAACAATGTCATCCATGCACGTAGAGCGATAATATACTGTGTTTAAAATTTATTATTTTAAATTAAGATGCATCTGGATCATGAAATTACCGGATATCGGGTTTCAGATATTCAGTTTCATATTTTGTTCGGATATTCGATATCTAGTAGGGTAATTATCCGATCGAATTTCGGATATTTCCCTGAATATCCAGTGTATTTCTAATTTTAAAGATATAATTTGTACAATTACGATAAAATTTGAATTACTAATACTGTTCAAAGTCTACTATTTCTAATCTATTCGTAACAGGAAATGCAATAAATGATAGCGTACCAAAATTACTTTAAGCTAACAAAGCTTATGTAACATTATATCAATAATAAAATATTCTGATATAAAATAGTATTTTACTTTATATCCTAGTATCTATGATCTATGCTTTACAATGTCATCGTTCTTTCTTTCAACATAAAAACACATTTTTGTACAGCAAATAATAACAGCGAATGTGACTTTATAGGTTATTTTTATGTATCGCTCTTCCATAATTTGATAGTTTTATCGTTCTCAAGGGCGGCCGAAGCTATAATGTTGTCCGTTGGATGACATGTTGTACAAAGTACAACGTCTGAAAACACGTGCACACAATTAAAATGAGTAAACTAAAATCTAAGAAAATTATATAAAAATATAATCTCAAAGACATTTAAATATTGAATTTCTTTTTATTCAAATCGCACTGATAAAAATTAAAAAAAAAATGTATATATGCATATTTCCATATGAAGAGCTGAAGGTTTAATAGAATAATGTCCATTTTTATTTAATTAATTAATGTCATTTTTTAAATGAATGTATAATTTACCTGTGTGTCCCTGTAACTTTTGCACGATCTCTTTCGTCTGTAAATTCCAAATGTATACCATGCTATCTTCAGAGCCGGAGACAATCCACTGTAAGTAAAAGATCATTAAAATAATCCTTACAGTCCATTATCTCTACATAATCTTAATTGTAAGGCATTTAAAATTAATTAATCGTCGCACAATACGCACCTTTCCACCCGTTACAGAGAAGTTCGCAAAGATGCAATATTTTTCATTTTTGTGACCACTATACGTTTTCAAACATTTTCCTTTACTGTAATCCCACAGCTTCAATGTATTGTCTAATGTTGCTGCCAAGATGTACTTGCCGTTCGGTGAAAATTTGACAAATGATACTGGAGGATTGTCGTCGTCTATCAAAGTTTTCAGACATTGTCCTGATGCAGTGTCCCAAATTCGACTGCAAATCATATATATTAATATTATGCAATAAATTTTCAGAGAAGAGATATGCGGTCTCATTCAGCTCACAGATCACCTCAACTGTAAAATTTGATGTTGCAATACTTACCACAATCCATCGTAACTACTGGAGACAATTAAAGAACCATCCCTATTGAAATGCACCGCACTAACAGGATCTGAATGTGCCGGTAAGGTTTTAAGGCATTTTCCGCTTCTTACATCCCAAATACGTACACTTTCGTCAAACTAAAAAAAAAGAACAAATTTTTTAGACCTTGTGATTTTACCTTCTTCTTATAATTGCATACATAATGTCACCCCAATTCACATTTTAATTTAATAATAAGACCAAACATTTTGCACGGCTTATTATCATTAATAAAAAATTTATTATTATATTTTCAATTTTGTATAGGAAATTTAATTTTGAATAAGAAAAATGTTCTAAAATTGTAATAGAAAAACTGTATAACTTGATTCTCATATAGAAACTGATATTTTGATAAATTCTAAGAAACTTAATTTAAAAAGATTATTTTTATATAAAATAAAGAACAAATATATGTAATTAATCTGTTACTTACAGAACCAGAGACTATGAGATTGGACTGTGGGTTGAAATTACAACAGAAAACGTAATTACTATGACCCTTTAATGTTTTTAAACATTTACCCTGAAAAATAAGAGATTCTAAGATTAATATATAAAAAAAGATGCAATACTTAAAAAAAACTTAAATTTTTATACCTATTACATTCAAACATAATTTAAAACATTAATTCCAAACATGATATCACTAAAAAGATATTTAATGCAGCCAATTAAGAAATTTCTGATAATCTATTTTTTATATATTATAGTTAGAAAACTATGGAGATTTCATAATTATCACTAATATTTACTTTTTTTAATTATAAAGAATATTCTGTACAATGGATTACTTACAGAACTTAATTCCCATATTTTTAAGGTTTTATCATCAGAAGCTGATACCAGCAATCTACTATCACTAGACCACGCTACATCAGAAATGCCCAACTTATGACCAGCTATAGTCTTCTCAAACTTTCCATCGTAAGAACCCCAAATTTTAATAAGTTTATCAGCAGCTGAAAAATTAGAAAAGTATACAAAATATTATTAGTTTGTCATTAGCATATCTCAAATCTCGTAACCAGTGTCTATATTCTGTATCCATATAGTCAAACTCCTTAGCATAAGAAAATAGTTGTTTGACATAGGTTTTCTTTCAACTGTCATCATGTAACTGCCATCAGGATAATAGTAATTTTGTTTAATAGCAACTTAAAGAAAATTATGTTAGACAACCGTTTCCTATACAAACAAGCAAAAATGCTGTAACATACTCATATTATAAATGTAGCCACAATCTATTTGTAAGAAGGAACTATTTCCTGAGTATTGTCATCAAGTTGCTCTTAACCATTAGTGGCAATAAAAAAGCAATCCAGTAGGCAAAATTGCTTTTCTCAACAATGCAGTCAATTTAAACAACTTGCTATCTTTTAACAACAGTATTGGTATCATTATACTATTGTTGTTTATGTTATATAAATATAGTAAAAAAAGCTGCACAATGACAATGTAATGATAATAAATTGTCATTAAGAGTTATAGAATAAAGGCAATGTGTAATCTCTAAAAATCCATAATTACCTGAGCTGGCCAACCATTCTCCATTAGGACTAAATTTGACAGATGACACAGCTTTAGTATGACCTGCTAAAGTATACCTCAGTGCATAATTTGATTTCTGTAAAGGAAAAAGCAAAGATATATATATATCACTTCTATATTCATTTTACTTTTGTATTACAGAAACAACATTATAACAACATTATAAAGCAAGTAATATTGGTTCAACAGTCAAATAGGTCTATTTTTATTCCTATAGGGAATAATATTTTCCTTATATATTTTATTCCTGTTTCTCGTTTTTATCAAACATTTATTTTACTTTACTTTAAATTTCAAGTGTTCAATCATAAAAAACAGATCTCATATTTGATTGTAAATATCTTTTTTTTTTTCATTACATATATTTCATCATGAACAATATGTAACCAAAAATAGAAACAGCTTAAAAAACATTAAATTTGATAAAACTGGAAAATACACGGAAATGGCTTGAACATAGAAAGAAAAGTAACCTTGTTAGATAGAATTAGAATTACAATAGATAAACGAAACATGTGATAAGTTTTACTTTATTTATTTTGGGGTTTTTGTAAGAAATTTTCGTAACACGTGTATACAAATCAGCGAAAACAAGTTTAACAACTTTCTGTTCTATGTATTTTGTTCGTAACTTGAATGTAAATCCAGCCATCTTATATTTTCCCCAATATCTGCATCGAGAACTTTGTCGTAGGACAATCTAGTTGCTTACTCTAGTTACGTATTTATTATCTCGTTTGACATTCATAATTAACCGAACCGGCGTATTAACGTGAATTTAACCTGTACATACCCTTTACCATATGCAAATTCAAATATTGTATACTTTACCACTATCGCGTTTTTTGTCCCGCTAGCAGCCGCGCTGGAAGAATTATTCACGGACGTCTGTCCTGGCGATGGGCCGAGGGGCACCATATTTCTCAACTATTTATCGATAAAATTTACAAACGCAACAATCCACAACGATAGCAACGCATCTAATCCGTAGAATGTGAATGTGATAGAATGTGAGCCACGGAGTATAATACTCCGTGATATTAAGGTGCCGTCACATACAGCCCGCAATCCGTAATCCGCACCGAATGTCCGCAAAGGTTAGTAGGGATTGCGTCCGTATTTTATTTTATTTTTTTTTACGTATATAGGCCGCAGCACACACTTTTGCATAACGCATAAAGCATGTGCA